CAATCCCTCATGCATATTTTGTTTTCATATGCGAGTCATATGCTAATGTTGCTTCATGTATATAGGATGTATAGGTGTTGCCAGTTGTTCCGCTACAAAATTGTCGACTGCGCTTCCCTAAAGAGGCCCTTTTCGAAGTGTATTGGAAAGCCATCTGCTCCAAACATGTGCCACCTGTTTCTTTGAATTGAGTTCAACCAAAAAAAAGTTCCTCACCTAATCGTGCATTGGGATGTGAACATTCGCATAGTAGCATATCCGTAGAAGCCAGCCTGTCCCCCTTCCGATTGCTGGATGAGTACTTATTTTGACTGTGCTTGTCAAGATCGTTCCTTTTATTTTCCGTAGCATTTCAAGTCAACGAATGGCTTCTGCAAACCCTATATATTTATTAATCATGTTTTCTGTCTTTGTTTTATTTTCGTAAAAATTAGTTTTTCTGGTTTCAGTGATTTTTAATTTATCGTTCCTTATTTCAAAATGTATATGCGGTAATGAAATAGATTTATTTTTGAAGACAGTGAAATCTATTTTGATTAGTCGAAGACAGTATTTTAAACCCTTTTAGTTCATATTGGGGCTTAGTTTCTAAAGAGCTATTGGTAAGTCTTGTGTAAATGATGAAAATGAAACTGGCTTGCATACAATTTTGCCTCTTATGTAAATAGATGGTACACTGAAATCAAAAAGTGGTAAATTTTGCCATTCCCTTTCCGTAGGGAATTGAATCTAGAAGCCAATTAGCTCTAAAAACAAAGGGGGGGGGAAATTAAAAACCATGTAAATTGTTTTACTTAGGCTTATACTTTTTGGTTGTTATTCTTGTTCCGGTAATTGATTTAATAGCAATTACCTTTACAGCATGTTGCAAAGCCGACTTTACCGTTGAGAGGTGGATGCAGTTTAGGGGGGAAGAACTTCGGACGTTCCCCCGAGATGTTCTCCTTCAAAACTGAGGTGGGAATTGTACAGTTAGTGCGTTAGGACTATGTCTATATACGACCCAGTGGTGAAATTCTCGTGTTTCGCCCACTTCTACCTGTACTGTTCAGTAGCCTGTAATTATCGCATGCTGTAGAGCTGATGTTTTCGGAAATTTACGAAAGCTGAGTAGCATAATCGCATGTTTTTGACAGAAGCATTTTAGACCGACTAGTAATTGGGGGGGGGGAAGGTTAACATTTCTTTCAGACTTTTACAGGTCACAGGCTTTGTATCTTTGAATGTTTCTGTGTTATTTACAGAAAACGGGAGATATTTTATTATCAAATCAGAAATCATCAGAAAATATTTTAAATCTTATTCGCAGGATATTGTAAGAGATTTAGAATCTAAATAAACTCTAATTATCTCACATAAAATTAACATTATAACATTTTGGGTGTTATTTGTATTTTAATATGAGTATTAACGGTATCATCACGTAGAAAGCCGTGGGAAAAGAGAGTAATTTTTGGGTCTCCCCCTGTAGAAAGTAAGCGTTAAAATCTGAACTTTATTATATTAACTCTTTAATAATATTTTTTTTTTGAATATTTGATTTTAAAAAATGCAGAATTAATGAGAGCTTTAGTCTTCAGATTTAAGCCAAATGAATATAAGGTTTTGGTTTATTTAATTATAGCAAAGCATACGAGGGCTCTTTGTCTGAGAGGAGGGATGCCTTCGTGGAGGACTTTCTAAGGGAAACTGGCTCGTTTCCACGTTACACTTAGGAAAACTACGAAAACGCCCATGCAGTAATCTGTTCGCTGGAAGTTGAACTACCAGTGTTTGGCCTTTGGAATATAAGAATGACCATGATTGCAAGACATACGCGGTTATCAAGTGGAAAAACGAAGAATTTTTGTATTCAGGAAAATCGCCCCATGAACTAGATTATTTTAAATAAAGGCTTGTAAAAACCGTTAAAAGGGTTAAAAATAAGTTTAAATTAATTTTTTTAACCTAATAAGCTCTCCACAATGTAGCATTCAAGTAGATCGTCCAGCTCCTGTTAGAGCTTATGTGGAAGGGATGTGTTATTTATGAGGGGCAACAAATCAGAATAAGTATTTTTAAAAATAATTAGTTCAATTTTAAAATTCAGTACATATTTGAAATCATGCTACAGTAGATCTTTAAAAATAAATTCTCATGTCTGATGATGATATTTCTGTGTTAAGAATTCAGTTTTGTTCAGCCATTGCTATGTGTCTGTTTTTCGAATACTGTAGAAATGCTTTCATTTCGCAGCAGCTGTCTGAATGCTGTAGAAATGTTTTCATTTCATAGCAGTTTCAATTCACATTTCTGATGATACCGTTTCTGTGTCAAGAATTCAGTTTTGTTCGGGCATTGCTATGTGTCTGTTTTTGAAAGAAAAAACTTGAACCAAAAATTGCGGAAAGTAGTTTTGGTGGCTAGTAGATTTTCAACCTTGAGAGAATAGGTGAAATACCGATGCTTTTCTTATCTATCCTAACGGTAATGTGCCCTGTTAAAATCGGTGTAACTTCTTCATTCCTTGTGTTTAGCGGTGTATGCTATAAATAGACGGATACATTCCTCCAATTATGTTATTCCGCGAGAATTTCCAAATATCGCCGAGTAGAGTCGAGATGATGGACAGGTTTGGCAGAACGCCAAATCGAGGAATGAGTGGGAGTGTCTGTAAAGGCCTTGACACCGTTTGCCGTCTGGATTAACTGGCTGTGCTGTTGTGTACAAGCAGAGCAAAACTCATCCGTCCTTCTGAAGGCCGTCCCCTCTGAAAACATAACTTCCTACTCTTTTCTTTTGATTAAGTTCAAATATTGCTAGTCAGCTTTTAATAAGTTTTATTTTGCCCTTGCTTACAAAAACTTTCGATAACACTAAATATTTTAAGAAACATTTCGTAAAAGATGGAAGCATATTTGCAGCTATAAAATATTTTATGGATCTTGTAATATGAATTCTCTTCTTCTCCAGTTTTGATAATATTGCCACAAAGCTGTTAACAAGAAATAATCATTTAATTTCATAAAACAGGTAAAAAGTTTTCATCAATATAGGTAGCTGTTTTAGTTTTTTCTATCTTATTATTTGTGAAGAATTTTGTTCTGTCGTTGTATTCATACTAACGTTAGTTTAATATAATGATTTTTAAAAAGTCCTCTGCTGGACATTTTTTTCCGGTTATGTTTATAGTGAATTTCTTTTCGTGACGCACAGCATTTACTCCAAATTATTTTATTTTTTATTCGTAGTATTGAGTACGATAGCGTTTATAGTCTGTTACATTAAACACTTCAAGGTCTTTACGATGCTTCTGCATTTACGATCGTAGCGTGTCGTCATCTCACTGAGCATTATTTTCTTTGCCCCATCTGAAACTGTAATTCAAATCATGCTTGATTGTGCAGTTTCCACGAAGCGGCAACAGACTAAATGGAAATGACGTGAGAAAAAGATTATAGGACTTATGTCCGGGGGGGGATACAAACTCGTTTCATTTCGTATAGCCGCGGTTGCAAAGCAAGCCGGGAGGAAAAATAAGACCTTGAATTGCCCGTTCAAAAGTAGCAGTCTTCGGTGGGATACTGTTAATTTTGGAAGTGAAAGGTTTATAATGAGTACATTAATGGCTGTTTAGATTTTGCATATTAATTTTCTGAACACTGATAAGCGGAATTGCTTATTTTTATTATTGCTATAGTTATTTCTATCTGTGAAGGGGAATGTGGCTGTGGTGCACTTCAGTTAGGTTCTTTAAATTAGAAATAGATAATATGTGGTCTTGGTATGGAAAATTATTCAGGAGAGAAATGTGTTTTTATTAAAGAATTTATAAAAATACTTCCTTCCCTAAGCGGAAAGCGTAACCAGGAGCTTTGCATTCATCCTTAGGAGTCAGATTCAGAACTCATTTTACCCCTGACACACATCCACTTGATGGTTATATCAGCAAAGAGCCACGGTCAAAGAGAACGTTCTCTCTCACCAAGATTCCCCCATATTTTGTTACACCCACTCACCCCCTCATACCCTCACGCCCTCTTCCCCTCTTTTTTGCATGATATCTGAATTTTCATCAGCTATATTTTAAGTATATTTAATTTTTGTGATGATAAAAGAACTTTTTTCCACCTACAATCAGAGCTTAAATTTCGCCGGATACCGGTTCCGATGCTTCTTAGTTTTTGTAATAAATCATAATTCTAGTCGGAGGACACATCTTAGCCTAAATAAGCCTAAATAAGAAGGTTGTGGCACCTTTTTTATGTAATTGAATAACAATTTCAGTAGAAATTTTATCTCGAAAATTTCATTTTTAGCAATAAAATTATATTAAAAATCGCTTATTATATTTAATTTATCTCTTTACATTTAATTTGATTTTAATTATTTAATTACTTTAATCTTTAATTATTTCAATAAATAATTATCGAATAAGTTTCATAAATTATAATATATAACATTGAAAACAATAAAAAAAATTAAAAAGCTATTAATTATAATACTTCCCTATTTAATTAAATAAAGAATAAAAAAATTAAAAAAATTTAAAAAAAAAATATTAATGAGTTTAATAGTCATTTTAATTATTTATTTATTCTTGTTCCTCTTTGCTGACAGTCTTCCATAGGGCTCCAGCACTTCTAATTTTAGAAATTAAGCCCTGCCTATGGACCGTTTTGCCTTTGTTCTCAAAAAGGTGTTTCTAAGGGTTAACCACGATGATTTGATGGACTTTGAAAAGTAGTGGAAATCAGTACCCCTGGAAATTTTATAAAAAGGCATGGGAATTATGATGCTTACTTATGTTCCAGAAAAAAGACCATCTAAAGTACTCTTCACATTTTAAACATTAAATGGCCCCAAAGTTATTCTAAAAATGTGTAAACACCCTCTGTAGTTGCAGATTATTAACATTTTTCTATGGGCTAAGAGATGGGAAACACTGTTTGTGTGATTAAACTGAACTGATTAGTTTCAAAGTGAACTTTTTTTAAAAATTTTTGCTTATTGTTTTGCAGGGCAATCAAAACATTTCGTGAAGTATTATATCTTGATCCTGGATTTTGTAGATCCAATGAAATTCATCTGAGGTTAGGTTTGATGTTCAAAGTTCTGCAAGACTATGATTCAGCCTATAAGCATTTTTCGTTGGTGCTCGTAGATTCCAGTCCATGTTCTTTAACAAAAGCAGAAAGTAAGTTGATTATTAATTTATTTCTATAATTATTTTCTGTATTGACTCTTTTATAATATTAGAGTATGTAGTAGTAACAGTTGGTATAGGTGTATGCATTGATTATAAAAATAACCTAAATACAGTACAAAGTCCGTAATCTGGACGTCCATTATCCGGAATGATCTATAATCTGGACCTCAAAGCCACAAACTTCACGCATGCGCGTAAAGTCTAACGCTGTGCGGTTAAAGAATGTTTATGTAACTAAATATTAAGCTCTGTAAAATTTGAACCCCTAGTCATATTGCTCTTTATTTCTAAATTTGATTTTTAATTGTATAATGCATTACCTTAATCTATAAGAAACCCTTAATCCAAAGCGACGGATTACAATTGTCTTATTATTTTAGAGTATGTGATCGCTAATGGGCGTTTGAAAGAAACATGTATAAAAAAACCAATTAAGTCATTTCCGTATCATTTAAGTGTTAAATTGGAGAATGATCTATCCGGACCTCCCCCTTTAGAAGTGTTGTGCTCTTTTTTTTTTTTTTTTTTTTTTTTTTTTTTTGTTAAAATTGATACCTTTTAGATCATTTGCTCTTTATTTCATAAAATTATGGTTTCATATTTTTAATTGTATAATTTCTGTATGCCATCCTACCAGATTTAAATTGATGATCTATAATCCGGAAAAACCCTTAATCCAGAATCGCCGAAGTCTCGACGAGTCCGGATTACAGACTTTGTACTGTATTTCAATAACCATCATCTGCATGGGTTATAGAAACACATATGTGAAAATTAACACCAGGTCAGAGTTCATCATTTACAGAAAATACGTTTGTTGTGTTAAAGAAATTTGATGTTGACTTCCATTTCTGCTGGCCTACTGATACAATTTGAATTCTGGATGAAATGTGAATGCTTACTTCAGTTTTGTTGTACTGCCATGTGTCACTGGTTCATGTTTACAACACAGAATGAAAGAAGTTGATGCTACCTTGTTTCATTCTGTATCGGTAGATCTAAAATTTTCAGTGTTATCCACATGTTTGGAATTTGATTATACTATTGAAAATATAAATGTACTCAGTAGAAAGTCTGAAATCCAGATGTCCAATACCGTGGAATAATCTAATATACATATCACTAGACAATAAATAATTAAAATAAAAAAAATTCCTGCCCCCTTATGAAATGAAGAATATAATACTTGCTGAAAAGAAGCAAGTGTGATTTTCTTTTCTTGATTAGCTGAGATCCACTTCCATGTGCTTGCTGGTTAGGGTTTCAAATTATAGCCAATAATAATATATTGATTGACATCGTATTGATATTGGCCAAGGCCCTTCCCACACGAATGCTCTGCAGGTCCTAAATTCTACTGCCCAGTACTTCTTCTAAGCTCTAAAAATTCTAGGATCCCTAATTTTTGCTGCCTAGTGAATTCGCTCCAGTTCCACCAACGGTCCTTTTGGGTGTCAGCATTCTTCTGAGGTTGAAAATAAGTGGAGCTGCCATGTCTGTATGTCGCCTTACTAGTTTTAAATTGATTATTTAAAAATTGGAAATACCCCAAATCCATAATTGCTGAAGTCATGACTATTTTGGATCTTGGACCTTGTACTGTATTTTTTGGGGGGGGGTGTAAAATAATTTCTCAAATTAAAACTTTTGTTTTCTCATGAAATTACTCAGAAAACTGCAAGCAGTTTTGCGGTTGTGCTTGGGAGTACAGTCAAAAGTCGTTAATTCGGACATCCATAATCCGGAATAATCTATAATCCAGACCTCAAAACTACAAACTTTCTGCGCATGCGTCGCGTTGACGTAAGACCTTTACGGCTGCGAATTTGCGTGTGTGCATGCGCAAAATACGTTTACGAATGCGCGTTTAATGTATAACGGACGGTATAAGCTAAGCTCTAATTATCTATTTCAGTTAATGTTGCAGATTGCGTTGTTCCTTAATCTTCGAATTGGATCCGGCTTATTATTTTTTGCACGAATTGGATCCGGCTTATTATTTTTTGCAGACTGTTAGAGCAATTTCATAAAAGTAAGCTTGAACTTTCGATTATGTCAAATAGAATTTCCGATTTATATTTACTAATATGTAACGGATCTACAAAGCGAAAGTATGTTTCGGAGTCCATTAAACAAAAAGTGGAATTGCTGTAAAAAATGGATAAAGGCATATCCTTTGTTTATCTAAACTTTAACGTTTGTTTATCTAAACTTTGTTTATCTTTAACGCTGGGACGGGCGCGCAATGAATTGGAAGTTGATCTGTCAGCACTATCCTTATCTTCAGGGCAGATGTTTTTATTTTATTTGGCTTATAATTGCTTACTGAATGTAGTATTTCATTTCGATATACTCTGTCTTTGATATGATTTAAATCAAATGCCTTGTCATTATAATTCGCTTCCGATAGCGAAGAAAGTAACAGAGGTTATTGAAAACGAAAAAATTTCGATTGACAAATTAGTCGGTATTCTCGACACAGCAATTATAGGACTTGAACAGCGGAACTTTGTAACTGAACAAGAAATTATGTATGTTTATAGAATTAAAGACAATGTATTATCACATAAAAAACGAAGCAACTTAAACAACTTACATTGAAAGAAATGTTTAATAAAGTAAACAAATAAATATTAAGCTTTTTTTTTTTTTTTTTTTTTGCTTTTTTTTTTTTTTTTTTTTTTTTTTTTTTTTTTTTTTTTTTTTTGTAAATTTTCGTACACTTAAGATCATAATTGTTCTTTGTTTCATAAATTACGGTTTCATATTTTTAATTTTATAATTTCTTCATGCCATTTTACCAGATTTAAACTTATGATCTATAACCGGGAAAAATTGATGAACCGGAATCGCCGAAGTCCCGATTATTTTTAATTTTATAATTTCTTCATGCCATTTTACCAGATTTAAACTGATGATCTATAATCCGGAAAAATCGGTAATCCGGAATCGCCGAAGTCCCGACGAGTTTGCATTAACGACTTTTGACTGTATATGAGTCATTCATTTGCTCAATCAATTAAATTCCACTTATGGAATTTTTTAAAATCTAGTATCTTATTTATAGTCTCTTGATTAACTCTTAAAATTTGGATTCAGAATAAGTGTCATTGAGGATTAATACTACTAAATGACAAAAGTTTCTTTGGATATGGAATAAAAAGTAACGTTTTTCAAAAAGCAACATGATTATTTCTACATTGTAAATCATTCCATTAATGGAATTCAAATGTCATGGAGAAACTAATAAGTAAATTTTTAATACAGCAGTATGCATATAAGCCTTTGCTAACAAATAGTGAGGAAATTATTGTGGTAAAATTTGTAAAACGTTGTTCATTTAAAAGAAGTTTGGGTCGGCTTATCATACAGGTACAAATCAAATGACAGCATCCCCGCTTTTTTGTGTGTGTGTGTTTTGCAACTTGGATAAAAAATTTATGTATACTAAACTTATTATATTGGTGCATAATTAGAATTTTGTAAGAAAACTTTGTGTGTCAGTAATTTCATTTTTCATGCTTTCGGCAGCTATGCATTCATTTAGTGACAAATTTATTTAATCCGGAGAAATTTTATCATATCAAATTAAGTATATGGCGACTTAATTCTAAGAACCATCAAAACAGTCTATTCAGATTCATTCAAAATGCAAATATCAGAATCCTCTGTAGTTTTATTGAAATTCGCTGAAATTGTAGAAAAAAGCCAAATCAATTCATATAAATTTTTATTAAATAAACTTAATTATTTGCGTAATGATTCAAATTTTGTCAGTATCAAGTCATTCATGGAAAAGTCCCAAAAACTTTTTCATCAGATGATTGGTATGTTGTAATCAAAAGTAATAAAAAAAAAACTTGTGTTTCAAAGCCAGTAAAAAGTTTGTATAACTATCAACATTTTCTGTTTCAGTACAAAATCGTTTTGAAAGTTAAAGTCAGTGGTATTTTCTTTTTGTTTTTATTTACCAAATTAATTATTTCTTCAAGGTCATGGAAAAATTATAATAATTACTTTAAGGATTATACTGTGGAATCTTGATCATAGTCACTCATGATAACAGATAAAGGAATATGTGGTTTATTTCTGACACTATCAGCTTCTTCTAATAATTAGTTGATAAGGAAATCAGTGTTAATTAGTAGTCAGTTTTTAGTGTGTATATTATGTAGCCTATATAAAAAATCAAGATTATAATTGCTGATTAGGTTCTCTAAGTGGCTGAATGAATAATATAAACTTGCAGTCAAAGTAGTGACAAATAGTAAAACTGAATTGTCCCATGCATTTGCATTTTGTAGGTAAAAGATATGCCTGTGACAATGTATTCTACAGTGTTTATTTGAAATTGTCTTCTGAAAAACAAAGCGGGGTTATTTTATCACTTTTCTGTGCTTTTTTTATTGTGAAATTGATTTAGGACAGGAGTGGCTCATGTATTCATCTAACTGTGATATGTAAAATAGTAAATAGGAAATGAGAAATTTCTAATTTGAACCTGAATTCAATGAACCTTTTTAAAAAATATCGAGCTAGAAATTTTAAAATTAATTACATCTGTTTTCTGTATCATGCCATTTTATAATTTTAATATGTGTTCTTGGTTTTTCATTTCAGTATACTTCCACATCGCACATCTGTTTGAAATTCAGGTTAGTAATTTTTATCCTTCTGAAAAAATGGAATTTATTTTTGTACATGTAGATAATCTGAAAATATGAGCCACAATATGTATTGAAATAAGCCACCCAGTCGGTATAGTGGTCAGGGAAGCTGATTGCGATGCCTGAAGGGCCTGCATTCGAATCCCGGAGAAGGCATGGTTGTAACTGTCTGTCCCTTCATAGGAAAGGCAATGGTGGCCCACTTATTAGGTGCCTCCATAATAAAGAGACCACCAGATCCAGCCTTGTATAGATTAATGGACTGGGTTACATTTGTAACTGTTCACAATCTGCCATTGAAAAAAAAAAAAAATGTATTGAAATATAATAGTCATCCAGAGTGCTTCTCAAAATGAGAGAATATTTATTCCAAATTTTTAAGTAGCAGAAAATTTATAAACAGATTAACACTATCAATAATTCATACAAATCATTATATATTATATATTATTATTTTATATCAGTGTTTTATATTTTAAAGTTTATTTACATTTGTTATAAAATATCAATTTTTGTAACTTTTTTAACATTCGAGTTACAAATGTGTAATAATGTTTTACTTTAAGTAATTACATGCAGTCAAATCTCATAAACACATCATTCTAAGGCTTGATTAAAAAGGGCTGTATTTAGCAAGGAAATTTTAATCTTTAAAATTTTCTGTACATAAAATTTTGAATCCTATTTAATGAAGATTAGATTTAATTATTTCTTTCTTGTCTTTAAATATAGATCAGTGAAATTTGGTAAAATATGATGAGCTTATTAAGAAAATAATTGAATGAACTCTTTGTTACCATATTGATAAACGGAAAAAAAAAAAAAAAAAAAAAAAAGATGGCCCTCTGACAATCTTAAGTATGAGGAGTTTGGCTTTTTAAGTGTAGATAATTTTCAGAATTTACTAATATGCAATCCCAGTCCTGTTTTTATCAGATTATTAAATAGTTGAAATGGCAAGAAGTGAGGCAGTTTGGGTTCTGAACATTTAAGGAATTCCAAGAAATGAACCAGTTGAGAAAGAGAATTTCTTTTTATTCCACTTTAAGAATTGTTTATATGATTTCTAAATTGATGTGATTTTTTTAACACAATAGTTAAAACAGTTGGAATTTCAAGAATATAAAGAGGATAGAGAAAGAAAACTAGATTCCATTCCCTAAAATTCAGTACATGCATTCAAGTTGTTTATGTTCTGACTGGATTTCTTTTGGTTTGGGAGAAGTTGAAAGAATTCAGGCTATGGCATTGTGTTATATCTTGAAACTAGTGTGATTCGGGTTTGGAAAGCAAATAGTTCTGGTAAAAGGAAAATAGGAATGGAATAAATTTATCTGCTCAAAATGGTATAGTATCCCCTTGTGTAGGAGTAAGATAAATGGATTAAATTGTGTAGATGAATAATTGAGATGTTCTGTGATTCTGAGAAAATGTGATAAGTGGAATGACATGTTGATGTGATAAGTGGAATAAGTTGATGTGAAAATGTGATAAGTGGAATGACAGGAGATGGCTTAAAGTGTAATACAATATTTAGTACTATTAAACATAAATTTACATGATTTAATGATAAATTATTATGTCAATAGGCATATATTTTCTTAGCTTAATTTTAGTTGAATGGAAATAAGCCATGCAATTGGTTTTCTCAAGAAAGAAAGGATTTTTTAAAATTTTAATTTAGTATAGAAAACTAAAAGTGCTAACTAAGTTCTGTGTTTACCAGTTTTGCATAAATGAAAATGGGTTGCATGTTTAGGCAAATAAATATAATTCCATTTGATCAGAAAAAGAGTGTTTTGTACGTTTCTTTATGGGGAAAGGGTATTGTTAATTTTTTAAAATAAAGTATGATATATGTAAAAATAAAAAGTTTTCTCATTTGCGTTTCTGTAAACATGTTTTGAGTTTACGAAAAAGATGAAATCGTGCTATCCATATTTTGTGGTCAGTCGAGGTGGGTTAGTGGATACTTGAAGTTCTGCTATAAATTTTACTTTTTGTATTCGTGAGCTGTACTTGATACATGTATGTTAATAGACTGAAGGGTATTGTTAATTTTTTAAAATAAAGTATGATATATGTAAAAATAAAAAGTTTTCTCATTTGCGTTTCTGTAAATATGTTTTGAGTTTACGAAAAAGATGAAATCGTGCTATCCATATTTTGTGGTCAGTCGAGGTGGGTTAGTATGGATACTTGAAGTTCTGCTATAATTTTTTATCTTTTTGTATTCGTGAGCTGTACTTGATACATGTATGTTAATAGACTACAAAGGAATTAGATTATTTTCTCTTTTATCCACTTCTTAATAATTAAAATTTTTTATTGGCATTTGTCTGAAAATGTAATTTGTGAAATCGTATAATTTTATATGCATAGAAGATTTTTTACCTCATTCTTAAATGTGGACTTTGACAAATGTTACATCTCGAGACATTTTATGCTTAAACATTTGTCCTGAATCTCATTTACTTGGTTTTTGATTGGTCAAATATTCCTCGCATATTCTCCTGTCGTATATATTTTCCAGCGTATGATTTATAAACTATGGCTTAATAATAACCAATGTAGGTGTATGCATAGCTAAGAAATTACATTGTATAAAAGAAAATGTTGTTGAAATTAATAACTGAATCCACTCCTTAATCATATAATTTTTTAATTAATCATCTATTTGTATGTATTTTTAATGTGCCATGTCTTTCACTTCATCCTGCCTCTCATAAATGGTGTTTACTATGTAATTTTCTCATCTCAGTTTTCAAGAGGTAAAATTAGTAAAAAAAGAGGGAAATATATGATTGAGACAGTATTTTAAGCTATAAAATTATTTTGTATTGCCTGTATGTGCAATGCATTTCTGTTTAAACTAAAATGTTGCTGATTAATGAAACCACATTGCTGCCTGTGCTCAGTGATGAATAGGGGCTGTGGTGGTGGCATCATCTGTTGAGAAGAATATCATCCTTGAACCCAAACTCCGAGGATGTTAAATTCAGACTGGGGAATTCATGTTTGCAAACTCCATGCTTTAGTGCCCGTCAGGGGCTCACTTTTGTGAGTACGGGTGTGGCAATCCTGAGGTTCCCTAGCCCTTCAGGGGATCATCTTCTTGATGAGATGGGTGTCACGATCCTGGGGTCCCAGTGATCTATCCTCTTTCTGTCTCCTTTCCTCTGAGCTGAAACTTTTTCTCCATATTTTCTCCCTTGTGGGTTTCCTCTTCGGAGGTTGGGGCTCGTCATGAGAAGTTGGAACAGCCCTTGTTTCTAGCTCTCAAGTGGCGAGAAAACTACCTACGTGTTTGCCGTGCATGGAGACCCATGTCGCTGGAAAGGAGGGTCCTAGTAGTTGAGGGGCGAGGTACTGTTCCCAACACTCAGCTTTGGCCTCTGCTTCAGCTAAACGGGAGGCACCTTAGTCGTTCTCACGGGTGCGTTCTGCATTCCCTTGTTGGGCTCTGTGGTGGGCGGGGCCGTCGGACCCAAATCTTTTATCTTTCAATCTTGGCTTCTCTTTTAATTAAAAAAAAACCCGAGTCAAATGACACCAATCAAGATATCGAAATCATTAACAAATCTCTTAGCAAGAAAATTCGTACCGCTGCTAATGCCAAAGAAACTACTGAATGTCCTTGCTTTGTTGTTGTTTCCAGTGCCTCTGGAGAATTGAAAAAAGATGTCTTCTTTCCTGATGAACAAATATATTCATTCATGCATAGGTGAGCCAAGAAATATAAAGCGTCTTCGTTTTGGAGACCTGCTTATTGATACGGTTTTGGCCACCCAGTCTGCTTCACTTTTACGACAAACCAAACTTGGACGTGTATCTATAACTGTGTCAGCACACAAAGCACTTAATTCCTGTAGAGGCGTGATCTCGGAAATTGACCTTTTGTATGTTTCAGAAGAAGAGTTCGTCTCCGAGTTAGCTAACCAAAAGGTTTGTGCTGCTAAGCAGATCAAGATGCGTAAGGAAGGTCAGTTGATTTACACAAAACATGTGATCCTGACCTTCAAATCGCCTGATCTGCTGAAGAATATCAAGGCTGGGTATCTAAATTGCCCTGTAAGACCTTATATTCCAAACCCTATGCGATGCTTCCAGTGCCAGCATTTTGGCTATTCCAAGATGTCCTGTCGTGGGACCCTGACGTGCACTCGGTGTTTGTCCGTTGGCCACGATAGCAATAATTGCACCGCTGCAGCACTGTGTATTAATTGCAAGGGCGACCATCCAGCATTTTCCCGTTCATGTCCAAAATGGAAAACAGAAAAGGAAGTGCAGACGGCAAAAGTCACTAGGAACATCTTATATGCTGAAGCCAGAAAACTAGTTCAAAGCACACATTTTCAATCAAACAAATCATATGCCAGTGCCATTAAATCTACAGGTACCATTGCCACCCAAACTTCAATAAGTACACAAACTGCACCAAATAAAACCCAGCAGACTGCAAGCAAGAAAAAAGGAAAATCCAATGCATGTCATACAAAATAAAGAAACAGTTATTTCAAGCAAACGAAAAAATATCCCAACAAAAACAGTTAACAAAAATAGAAGCTCCAGCAATAAATAGTTGACTAGATGGAATATTATCTGAATCTGTAGATTCAGATAGTATGGAAGTGGAGGAGGGACTGGAAGTCTCTAAACATCTGCTTCTGCGCAAAACTGAAAAGCAACACAGAAAGAACAAACATCAATCGTAATGGCCAACCTCGTGTCATGGAACTGTCGTGGTTTCCACCAAAATTTCCTTGACATCAAAGCTATGATCAATGCTCCGCAATACAGGAAACAAATCTGAAACCAGATCAACAAGCAAAACTTCGAAGGTTTTCTTTCGTGAGTCTCACCTCTCTGGACTATCCCTCAAGTTTTTTTCCTTTGATGACATCCCTCCAAGTTGTCGCTGTACAGGTAAATTTTCATATTGTAGTTTCAGTCGTTTCTCTTTATTTGTCTCCTAATGAGTGCATTGATCAGCAGGATTTAAATGAACTTGTGGCTCAGCTGCCTGAGCCTTTTATCATAATGGGTGATTTTAATGGCCATAGTCTGTTGTGGGGAAGCAAAGACACCAATTCATGTGGAAGACAAATTGAGCAGGTAATTGAAGATTTGTCTCCTGAGTGCTATTGCCTTTGTCTCCTGAGTACCATTGCTTCTGTCCATTGCCTTTGTCTCCTGAATAATGGGCAGGACACATACTTCCATGAACCTACAAGGACATTCCACGCTCTTGATCTAACCATCTGTTCACCATCTCTATTGTCATTTTCCAATTTTAGTGTTGGAAGTGATCTGTACAATAGCGATCATTATCCCATTCTTTTATCTCTCGCACGAAAAGGAGCAAACCCAATGGCCAGACTCCCTCGGTGTATACTGGATTGGGCAGACTGGGAACTCTTCTCTTCCTCCACAGAGCTCTAAGAGAAAATGGTAGAAGATGGGCTTATCGATGATGCAGTGGAAGCAGTTACAACTGCTGTTACTCAAGCAGCTATGCTCTCCATCCCTAGAACATCAGGAAAAATACTAAAATTTTCGAAACCATGGGGGAATCGTGACTGTCATGCAGCACTGAAAAAACAGAAAAAAGCATGGAGAATTTTTCATAGATACCCTATTCGGCGAAACCTTATGGCATTTAAAATCGCGAAAGCAAATGCGCGAAAAGTAAGAAGGCAAAGCAGCCAGAGGGATTCTTAAAATTCATATTGTGTCATCAATAACATCCTCTATGCCTAGTAAGCAGGTTTAGAAAGAGTTCGAAAAGCATGCGTTACATATAAAGACCACTCACTTTCCTTTTAGGAAAAAGATGGCCGATTAGTTCCATAGAAGAAATTGTGAATACTATTGGTGAGACATTCGCTGCCGTTTCTTCCAGCAGGAAATATTTACCTGCATTTCTTTTTATCAAGCAGCACTCTGAAATGAATCCCATTGCATTCAACTCTTCCAGATCTGAGCCTTACAAGAGATTTTACTATGCTTGAATTAAGGAGAGCTTTGTTGCAGACACATAGGTCTTCCCCAGGTCTTGATGGCGGGAATTACGAAATGCTAAAGCATCTGTCCTATAAGTCACTGAATGCCCTTCTTACTCTTTATACCTAGAGTGTGTAAGGAGTGTACTTTTTCCAGTGCATGGAGGAGAGCTGTTGTAATTCCTATTGCTAAGCCAGAGAAAGATCCAAATGAATCCCTCCAACTATCAGCCAATTGCCCTTACAAGTTACGTATGCAAGCTGTTTGAAAAAATGGTAAACAGCCGCCTAGTCTACTTTTTGGAAAAGAATAATATTATATCACCTTATCAAAGCGGTTTTCGAAAGGGGAGAACAACCATAGATAACATGCTCTTTTTAGAGACATCCATTCGAAAAGCTTTTGTAAGAAGTCGCCTTGTCTCGGTATTCTTATTCTTTGATATTGAGAAAGCTGATAATGCATGGAGATACAGTATACTTCGGGATCTTCACGAGAGTGGCTTGCGCAGCAACCTACCAATTTTCATTCAGAATTTCTTGAACACTAGAACTTTCCAAGTAAGGATTGGGTGTGTTTTGTCGGATGTTTTTGAACAGCAAGAGGGTGTGCCTCAAGGCTGTGTGCTTAGTGTAACCCTGTTCAATTTTAAAATAAACTCTATATTAAAAGAACTTCCCCCACCATCTTGGGATCTCTTTATGTTGATGATCTACAGATTAGCTGTCGAGGGGCAGACATGAGATACGTAGAGAGGAAATTGCAGATGGCTCTGAATAAGATCCAAGAATGGTCAGAGAAACCGGGATTTTCGCGGCTGTCATCTTCATCCTCCTCACCATGAAATATGGTAGATGGCCATAAGTTATGCCAAGCATTTTTTTTACGTACCTGGAGAAACATCCTCTCACGATCTTGCGATGCTCCACAGAGCAGATTTTATGCTAAAAAATTAAAAAAAGTCTTGAATAGTCTTGCCACTGTACAAGAAATTTAACATACATTTTAAAAATGCTGCTTTATATTTGCATTTCAGCGCATGCACTATTCCCATATCCATAGGCTGAATGATAGACGTACAATTGAGGGAAAAATAATACGGATACATTATCTTTCACTAAAACTTTAAGTGAAGTATGCGCCGAACAGTTATCAACAATCAGGACTATTTATGAGTCATCAGGTAAACCAACCAAATTCAAATGTCGCCGAGCCTCGGATATAAAATGATTTTCAAACCAGTCATCAACACTTGTGTCAATTCATCAACACTTGTGTCATCCATGCTCTTTTATTTGCGCTATATTATATAACAGGGAAAATCGTTACTCTTTTAAACGCTCGAGGTCGTGCTTGTTTTCCAACTACGAAGAGTTTGCACTTGTGCTTTCCTGCAGCATTTGCGCACGGTAAAATTGTTAGTCTCGCTTTGGAATCTTTGACACCAGTTGGAGCCTTTTATGTAGAGATTGCCAAGGTATTTCGCGGTACATATTGCCAGAAAAGATCAGTTTCTTCAGCATTGTAAATTTGTTCTGCAGATAATTGTTCTCTAGTAATGAATTCAATGAATTCATCTGCAAATTGTTCAGCAGCTTCAGTATTAGCTGAAGATTTTTACCTAACATTTTTAATTGTCTTATACCATTGCGATTTTAAAATTTGGTTAACCAACATGTCGAATATGTGCACTCTCCGTTTAAGTTCATTTCTTCATGAAATATTTTGGCTTGAGCCATTACCATTGGACCCGTCAATGGCACGCCCTTGCTGCGACGCTATCTGACCCATTCAATCATCACTTTGTCATGATCGTCACTTTTAGCATAGCGAACTTTTTTTCTGTTATTCATTGCAAGTGGGGTGTCGGAATCCACAAAAAATTCAGAAAGTTCCTTTTTCTTTTTGCTTATGTCATATACAGTTGACTTTCCAATGTCATACTTCCTCACATAATTTTCAGATGGTATATGCCTTTATCCATTTTTTGCAGCAATGCCACTTTTTTGTTTAATGGACATCGAAACGTGCTTTCACTTTGTAGTTCCTTTGACAGCTCCAGAATTCGGAAACTCTTTTTGACATCATCGAAAGTTCAAGCGTAATTTTTATAAAATTGCTCTAACAGTTTGCAAAAAATAATAAGCCGGATCCAATTCGCAAATTAAGGAACAACGCAATCTGCAGCATTAACTGGAATAGATAATTAGATAATTTTAGCTTAGCTTATACCGTCCGTTATATATTAAACACGCATGCATAAACGCATATATGCAGAAAGTTTGTAGCTTTGAGGTCCGGATTATGGATTATTCCAGATTATGGATGTTCGGATTAAAGACTTTTGATTGTATTTAATGTGATAGTTTAATGCATAGTTAGAAATATGGATGCATAAACCAAAAACTTCCAGACGTGGCCATTTCAAAACATAATTTTATTCCATAAGTCACATCAGATCATTTTGGTAGACAATGGATTTATCTTATCATAGTTAAATACGATAATTTTGTGTACACGGGTTTTAAAAGTATGACTTAAGCATCTCGGGAAGGAAAGCATAACAGTGCAAAGATGTTTGCTTGGCAGAAGTTACGAAAAGAAATAACGTAATTGCTTGTGAAGCAGTATTTATACTATGTAGGTGCATATATACAGCTAAGCTGCAATTGTTTAATTTTAGGTTTTAGTTCCGTTTTTCAAGCAGCATTATGTAACTGGGAAAGATCTCGAATTTGGGAGAAAAAATGAGCATGGGGGGACAACATTAAATCTAGAATAGTCAATTTTGAAGTCGCTTATCATTTCTTACTGCAGCCTTAACTTCTGTGGTATTTAATTATATATATGTATGTGTAATATATATATGTATGTAAATATATATATATATATATATAATATGTATAATGTATTTAGGTTTATATGTAGTGGGGTCTGCTGGAATAAAATCCATTTCCAAAGCGGCCCGCGAAATCCTTGGAGCTCGATAGTCCTGTTTGATACAATGCATTTGTTTTGATGATTTTTTCGAGTGTGTTCATTATGTTTTTTTATTCCAGGGTAAACATAAAACAGCTAAAGAAGCATATGAACAACTTTTGGAGCAGAAAGATTTGCCTCAAGTGATTCGAGCTGAAGCTTCTAAACAGCTAGGTTTGTTTATCCTTTGGTCTGATATAGTTTTTAAATCACAGCTTCTCCTTGCCCTAAGTTTCTTGCTAATGTAATTCTGGGCAGTTTTTTGTAGTGTCTGTAGCGGATCCAATGTATACAACACTGATTTTTGTTGTTTGACTTCTAAATTAATATTTGTTCTTTATTATCATTCCAAAGCAATAGATATTTTTTATTTCATAAAATAATTTTCTATGTACGAAATGTTTTTTCAGATTAATGCTTAGTTATGCTGATGTGTTAAGTTGGAAAGATGATGTACCATCTTAATTGGTAAATTAAAAAGATTTGAAATTTGATTTGGGGATTGAAATTTTATTTATATGGAGATTTTTAGCTTTTTTCCTTTTCATGCTGACAAAAATTATTGGTTTATAGTAAAAATTTTATGCTGAGGAATGGATGTGTTATAGGAATATGTATTGCACTAGAGTTACAAATTTTATTGAGAAATATTTTGTGTAGCATAATAAACTTTCATGAGTGATTATTTTAATCCAGATCATTGTTAATATTTTCCTTCCCATAAATTTGTCCTGCTTTTGATCTCATTTGCATATGACACTTAAATATCTATCATTGTGTTCCTAAATGCAAGAGAGCATTTTTCTTCATTAGGCATATGAACATTATTTAAAAATACTGAATGAAATATCTGAAATAAATAAATATTTTTAAAAGAAAGTGAATAAACCCTACCCCCACCTTATTTTATTTTGGAATTTTAAGATACAGTTAGTTAAGTTTTCTTAATATGAAAACTGACTCTGATGTTTGGTTAAAAGAACATTTTTTAATTACAGTAAAAAAAAGCCCAGCTGTCCAGCATTCAACTAATTGGAAACCTCAAATAAATAGAATATTTTAGAAGTCTCACTTTGAAAAACTAAACAAATGTCAGATTTCTAAAGCTGTAAATCTGAATAATTCTAGATAGTTCGATTTAGTTTTTGCAAAGGTCGATTTAGTTTTTGCAAAGAAGTATGTATGTTAACTGCAATTTACCTATTTTTTCAGCATTTTGAAAAAGAATTTTAAATTTGGGAAGCTTTCTCTATATATCTGTGTATGCCATTTAATATTTTCAAAGTTGCAGGATCCTGCCATCAGGAAGAATATGCCTTAAGAGCCATGATATGTGACTTTGACCATGATTTGAAAATGGATAAACAGTGCTGATGCAACGTGAAAAATTATAAGCGATTTAGGTTGTGTATGTGGTATAGCAAATTTCATATCTACATTTCTAAGAACATCTGGAGTTCTTTATTTAACTAACAATCTGTTCTGTAAACTTGATTGGTGCAAATTTGGTGGTATCTTTGCCAATTTTTATGGTTGATGGAATTTCATAGTCAAAGATGTTTTGTATGCTTAAGTCCTATGGTATTTATCCACTTTTATGACTGATATGTATTATTTTTATACCTTGCATAATTTTAAATATAGGTTTCTGGTGTTCAGGCTGATAACAAATAGTCTTTTTAAATTTTGACCAAAAAGTTCTATCATTCATTTGATTTTTCTGTTATGAATTGAATTTATTATATGCTGAATTATTCAGAATTTTCACATATCTGACATTCGACATTTTACAGACTTTCTGTATATTCAAGCTTTTACTGTATATTTGGTATCAGAAATGACATTAATAGTAATAGATAGATTTATTTTCATATGGAGGTCATTAGAAAAGTTAATTAACAAAAATGAGCGTAATGTTTGTAAATTTTGCAGGACTAACTTCTGTGGTGTAAATACAGAACCCATCTTCAGCTGCCTAAATGCAAATGAATGAGGTAGAATATGGTGATAATATAAGAAAGACTGTAAAGAAGTCAAGCTGCTGGCACCATCTATTGATGAAACAAGAAAACTAAAACGTAATTTCTCTAAAGGCTGAGGGTAAAGATGGATTTCAATGAAGGTCGTTAACCGGAACAGAAATATTTTTTTTCTATTGTAAGATGCCTCTAGAAAATTCACCAATAAAAAATGTTGCTCTTTGAATAATGCTCCAGAAAAATGGAAAGTACGATTTTTTGACCAACATTCCTGCAAAACGGTGGTTTTCTGTGTTTGTTTTTTCCTAATATATGCTTCTTGTTCTTTAATGTGACATTTTAAAGCTGTTTTAATTTGACCAATGTAAATTAAACCAGACTGGAAAGAAATCCTCCCCCACCCCCAAGACTGGAATTCACACTGGGAATTCTCAAGTATAGAACTGGAAATTTTAGGAATTGTTTACTTTTAAATAAAAGGAAACATCTAAGTACAAATCTTTCTGAAGTGTTATGTATTTTTGTAAAGGGATTTGATTGTTTTTGTGTGTAATAGAATGTTATATTCTTCAAATTTAATCATCTCCAAATATCTTCTTCTTCTTTTGTTTTTAATTTCATTCTGATCTGTTGGCATTGACTAAAGACAAATTTGTGTTACTTTAGATACTTTTGTTTCATTGTATTACTTAATAGTGTTTCTCAGTTTCATAATTTGTAGAGACTAATATTAACCTTTTTCTCTTAGGGTGGATGCATCATACAGTAGAGGCTCTTGGTGACAAACCACAGAGACAAGCTCTTTCTCTGCATTATCTGCAAAAATCTATTGAAGCAGATCCAGCCAATGGCCAGAGTTTATATTTTTTAGGGCGTTGTTATGCTAGTGTTGGGAAAGTACATGATGCATTTGTTTCATATCGAAGCTCAGTTGATAAGGCGGAAGCCAATGCGGACACCTGGTGTTCTATAGGGTAAGCATAATTCTTATTTAAGTCATTGGTATGTGATGGGTTTGTAGTTGACTGAATATGTGTATTTTTTAAACCTGTTTCTGTTTTAATTTTTGTAGCTTTCTATCTTCAGATTGTTTTTTAAATACTGAAATGTAATACATTTCTTGATTTAAATGGTTGTTTTGTTTTTAAATGCTGAACTGTAATTCATTTCATGATTTAAATGGATGTTTTTTTGCTTTTTCCCTTCCTATCTTTGATTACTTTTCTCTTTCAGTGATATCTTATATTACCATTCTTAATATTCTGTGAATTTATATTTTCTACTACTTTATATACTCTTTTTTTTAAAAAAAATCAAAATGTATTTCATGTTTTTCTAGTTATTTCTGTTTGCTTTGTCAGTTATCATATCTATACCTGTTTTACTTTTGAAAGTCTTTGGCTAATTGTGTTATATTTTTCTTCATTGTGTGTCATTCATTAAGTTTCATTTTCAGTAATTTGACTTTTTGTGAGTATTATATTACTACCATTGTTACGTGCTACATACGTGACATTTCTTTTTCATCATTAAGTATGCTTCTAAAATATCATAATCATTCAGTGAAATATAATCAGTATAAAAGGAATGCTGGTTATTTTAAAATTTATCTTCATGGATTTTTCTGTCTTATGTAAAAGTATTAAATATTTTTCCTTTAGCTTCTTTAAGTTCTGTTTCTATATGGTAAATAAGATGTGGTGTTATTTCTCTTTGATAAAAAATTTGTATTGCATGTTTTCCCCCCGTTTTTGTATTAGCGTATTGTATCAGCAGCAAAACCAGCCGATGGATGCTTTGCAAGCTTATATTTGTGCTGTGCAGCTTGATAAAAGCCATACACCAGCTTGGTCAAATTTGGGTATTTTATATGAAAATTGCAATCAGCCTCAAGATGCTTTGAAGTGTTACTTAAATGCAAGTAATGGGAAAGGTGAGGAAATATTTATTTTGCTATTTATTTGTTTATTATCAAGAAAAGTAATTTGTTGATCAGTGTACTACTTCTGTACTATTTGTTATTTTTAATGTTATTTTATCATAAAATAAGTATTTTATTGCATAGTTTACATATCATACATTTTAATATTCATTCACTCATTGGATGTTTTTCTTAAAGGTATGAAATTATCATATATAGGGTAGATTCTATTAATATTCATATATTAATATAGGATTAACGTATGTCACTGGCTATTAAATTACATGTTTTTCTAAATTCCAGTTACTTTAATGATTAAGTAATCCGCAGTTGTTACTTTCTGTGCAGAAAATAAATGAATTACATCTATGTTCTTAAAATTTATAATTACCTATTTAAAAATTAAGCAATCAAATAATATTATTAATCTACTTATCTAATATTGTTACAATTTTAATTTATTGAATTCTGAAATTTGTTATTTCAGGATACTGATAAAATTTTATTTACATGTAATTTAATTTTGAAAAAGATACTATATAATAGGTTAAATTTTATTTAAGCTAAAAAAGATTGTTTAATTAATATTTAAACTTTTTCTTAATATGATTATTTCATACTGAGCAACAATTAATTAATTAGAAGTTGCATTAGCTTTGAAATTGATTATAACTTTTTTTATAGGCCCGGCAAATCCAAATCTGTCTTCCCGAGTAAGAATTTTACAGAATCAGCTTTCTTCTGCACCAACAAATAACGCTCAAAGGTTGGAACTTTTGTTAAAGAGCTAATTTTTTTTAATCTTTAATGTCTCTTATTGGTGTTCATGTTTGTATTAGATTAAATTTATCATATAACTTTTATTGCTCCATAATTGTTTACTGCAGTATGTGTGATTTGATTTTTCAATACGTAAATACACTAGGAAAAGCAGTGGATCAGAATGAAACTGGTCATGGGCACAGGGAAGAAAGACTAAAATATATTAATTTGAAATTATAAAAAGAGAAAAATATATTAATTTGAGAATCAGGAAACACACTCATTGCATCAAAAGTGGTCCTGAAACATTACATATTAAGGAATTAGGATTGTAACAATTCTCATATGTCTTCTCATAATTTTTCATTATTCTAGTAGTTTCATATAAGTTGTGAAATGAGTGTGTTCTTGTATTAAATATCATTTTTATATTTTACATGCATTTTTTTGCCTAGTCATTTTTATACTCCCTTTACCTTCTTATTATATTCAGTTATTTTTGTTGTCTCCGTATAGTTGGTATATCCAAGTCTACCTTATGAGCTGCATTATTATTTACTTTTCATCGAGACATTAGCAACTTTAGTAAAAACTGCTAATCTTCTGGATCTTATCCTACTTCGCAGTGACAGATACAGAAGGATATTCTTCGATGTCAGTAAGGTGTTCCAGTTAGATACTCCAGTGATACACTGCTTCTCACAGATAATGTTGTAGGGCCGTCTCGGGTTTTGATGGATGTAGGATTAAGAAATTATCGTCAGCTTGGCTACAGGATGAGAGCCAATAGCATGGATATTATAACAGGCTGCTGGTTGTCATTGATGTGACATTGGCCTGTGAGTATGTTGTACAGGATAGTTGAATGTGATTGGGTCTTATATGCAATAACATCCTGCATGATAACAGTAGGGATTATGGAAATATGCTCCATCATAATGAGGAGAGGTGAGCAGCATTAGGCTGTCCACAGGCACATATCTGTGTGGCAGGCATACAGGCATAAGGTTGAGTGAGAATATGAATTAATTGAAAGTGATATCTCTAATATGTGCATTCCTTCTGGCATGGGACCTCTATTGGGGAAATGTTGTCAGAATGAGAAACATTAATGGCAGACATTATAAAAGGCACCAACATTGCTATCATCTCTCCATAGTTTTTTAATACATTTACAAATGTCCTGTAGATGTAAGTAGTTGAATAAAGAAAAAATGTAGCATTTTGTGTGGTTGTGGAAGGCTTCATCTGTACGATGAGCTATTCTCATCAGCCTGCCACTGACAGAAGACATGTTGAAATAATATTATCTCACTGTTTCAATGCCAGGATCTTTCTGCCTTGTGATTTGTCAATATGACAACATTGCTCCTCAAACCTTACTCTCTTCTTGCATCCTCTGAATTCACTTGAATTGTATATGACCTCATTAGGTAGATGTAGGAGTAATTTTCATTATCTGCATCCAATGGCACTGGTATGGAAACCAGTCTGATTTCCATGATAGGCAAGCACAGGGCCTTTGTATCTTCTGGCTTGTTTCATTTTGATGCACTGTATTGGTACTGTGTGTGTGCATATGATAAAGGTAAAGTTCCAAAGAATGTTGAATTTTCAGTGAATAAAGCTAAAATTTTAATTCCACAGTATGTAAGAGCAGCATTAGGCTGTCCACAGGCACATATCTGTGTGGCAGGCATACAGGCATAAGGTTGAGTGAGAATATGAATTAATTGAAAGTGATATCTCTAATATGTGCATTCCTTCTGGCATGGGACCTCTATTGGGGAAATGTTGTCAGAATGAGAAACATTAATGGCAGACATTATAAAAGGCACCAACATTGCTATCATCTCTCCATAGTTTTTTAATACATTTACAAATGTCCTGTAGATGTAAGTAGTTGAATAAAGAAAAAATGTAGCATTTTGTGTGGTTGTGGAAGGCTTCATCTGTACGATGAGCTATTCTCATCAGCCTGCCACTGACAGAAGACATGTTGAAATAATATTATCTCACTGTTTCAATGCCAGGATCTTTCTGCCTTGTGATTTGTCAATATGACAACATTGCTCCTCAAACCTTACTCTCTTCTTGCATCCTCTGGAATTCACTTGAATTGTATATGACCTCATTAGGTAGATGTAGGAGTAATTTTCATTATCTGCATCCAATGGCACTGGTATGGAAACCAGTCTGATTTCCATGATAGGCAAGCACAGGGCCTTTGTATCTTCTGGCTTGTTTCATTTTGATGCACTGTATTGGTACTGTGTGTGTGCATATGATAAAGGTAAAGTTCCAAAGAATGTTGAATTTTCAGTGAATAAAGCTAAAATTTTAATTCCACAGTATGTAAGAGTTCAGTTTAGATCAAATCTTACTTTTTAAAAAAAGTTATTTTTCTCTTATTTAATGGCATAAAATTTCATCCAGTATAATTTTGTTAGTAGATGTGCCATTGTCTTTTATGAACTTCTTTTTCACCAAAATAGATTTTTATTTCCTTCCAAAATTCATTCCCTGTTTTATCTCTTCATTAGACTCCACCCATGCACCGGCATTGTTTTCTGTATGTCTATGTATTAGGTATTATTTCTATGCCTATTTAAAAATGTAAATTTTTATATATAATCTTGCTTAAGTAATTCTGAGTGCATTTTAATCAGTTATTTATGAACTAGTGAATTAGATTTAATTTAAAAATTAGAAAAGTAAAAATGTAAGCAAAAAGAACATGATCTATAACGTCATGAAATATTCTAATCTGTGCAACCATTGGGTACCAAAGATTGTAAATAAGAACTCTTTTGTCATATTTAGTTTTCTTCAGATTATATTTTCATATTTAAATCTCACTTTCTGCATTATGGTTAAATATTGTGTAGTTATTATTATTTAAATTTTGGTTATGCAAAGCAAGAAAAATGTTCTATATAATTTTTAAGGAACTTAACAGAAAAGTTACATTATACCTTTATATAATTGCCTTTTTTTACTTAGTATTTCATATATAATTGCATCTTGTTACTAGTTTTGATATTCTGCAGTTTGTGATATCTCTTATATCTTTACTGCTAAGCAGTTTCATCCCTCATGCATTTTAAACTATATTCCAATATTTTAGTCATGTTTTGTACAGTACAGTCTGAAATCTGGACATCCAGTAACTGGAATGATCAGTTCTCTCATGAAAGCTTTTTAGAAAAGAACCTTTTTCTCATGCATTGTAGGAATGGAGATCATGATACTAAAAGTCTGAGTGTGTGATTTTGGGCTCAATTAACTAAGGTTATTTTTTGTGCCAGAAAGCATCATTATCCACAATAGGATTGCTTAACTCCGTATGTTATTTTTCTGCTGGGTAATAAATAAACCACATTTTTGGTTTCAGTCCTCAGGTTGATCTGGGGTTGGATATTCAGCAATTTTTTTTTTTTTTTTTTTTTTTTATCTTATTGGTCTTAGACAGTTTGGAGTGGAATGCTATGCATGCTAATTTCATTTGTTGGTGTAACAAAAAATGGAGAAAGTGTTAGATCTTCATTAAGATTTCAGCTACTGTTACCAATTTTGCTGATTTCATCCAGCTTATTATTTTGTTCCATCTTATTATTACTTTTATTTTATCAAAATTAAAATTTTTGTAATAGATAACTAACTCAGCAAAAGGATATCGGTACAAAATATGAATATTTCGGGTTCCAGTTGCATTTCAATTTCATGAGATTGTTACTAAAAGTATATTGTTTATGCAGCATTACTCTTTCTTATAACAATAGGATAGCAGCTTATTCTTCTCTTGATGGATCCTGAATCATAAAAATTCATTTCAGTCTTTTTTTAAGAAAAAGATGAAAAACATAGTTGTGTCAGTAAAGAAGTCAAACCAAATTAGTGATGCACCCCAAGGAAAATACACAAGCAAATAAAAAAGCACCAATAAGCCTGGACTTCCCTTAAAACTTTTTCCCCCCCTCACACAATGTAGGAGTAGTCAATATGATACATAAGCAAAAACAAGTACACCATGAATGTGCATCAAGAATTTTTTTTCCCCACCGCAAATAGTGACCCAGAGACTTTGTTTGCAGTGGAATGTTGGACATATTGGTTTCCTTTTGTTGGTGTAGCTGGTAAGGAGAAAGATTTCAATTAGCTTAAGCAATTAACAGTGTGAACTGTACCTTTATATACATACATGATTTGACCTAGCTAATTATTTTGTTTAGCATATTAATACTATAATAATATGTTATATATAATATTATACTATAATAATGTTAGTTTATCAAAATTAATGTTTTAGTAAAAGATGCAGTCTCTCATTCATTCTTCCCTGAAAACTTTATATTCGTCAGTCAATAAATGGATAACAGAAGGTTTTTGTCCTAGAGCTGAAAAGATATGCAGAGCAAAAAAGGTGCCAACTGTCGTTCGCAGAAAAGATCTGTAAAATTTTGCATTTAATGTTATATGTGAGAAAATGCAAAGAAAAGCGAAATGAAGATGATATAGCTGATCTCTCTATTACAATGCCTCAGTCGTCAGTCAGTTAACAGATGCTGAAACCTATATTATGGTTTTTTTAATCTAGAGAAAATATCCCCATCAATTTTGTAGAAAGGGATAAAGAGGTTATGGAGAATGGTTTGGTTTATGTGATTATGGCAAAGCCTCAAGGGCTATATGCCCAAGAGCAGAGATGCCTTTGTGGAGGACTTGCTAAGAAAAACTGGTTCGTATACATATTACAAATGGGGAAAACTAAAGAGGCCCATCCACCCAATCCATTCACAGGATTCAAACCTCGGACCGAACTACCATTGTACAGTAACTTTTACCACTCGGCAGCCAGTGGACGTTACAGAGAAAGATATTTCAATTCATGGGAATTTTCGACACTGCAAAGAATATAATTTCTACATCTAATCGTACTAGGACCTAGAAGATACTCTCTCTTGGTATTCTCTTTCCTTATTGTTTGTTTATTGTTTTGATGTTTATTGTATATTAAATCAGTTCTTTGGTGTATACAAGGTTCATTGAAAGCTTTATTATGTGATAATTATATTGGTAAAATGCTTTCATATTTTTATAATATGGTACATACATATCAAATTCTTATCTTCGCTTTTGTAAATATAAAATTTTAAGGATTAAAGCTTATGATGCTATTGCTATAATTCCTTCTGTTATGTAAATTGTGTCTTATTTTCAGGCCTAAGCCACTGCCATGTATTGAAGATGCTTGGAATTTTCCAATATCACAAGAAATGGCATCGAGGCAGAATGCTGCACAGGGGCAAATTGTAAGTTGTTCTTTGACTAACTTCTTACTGATAATTTGGTTACATATCTTTTGGAATTATTGAAAGTGCTGTTAAATTTATGTGATAGATTGTTGTATGAAAAAGAAAAACATACAGGTTTTCCAGTGTTAAAGTATTTAAATGTTTGTAATTTAATTTTTTATAGCATAATTAAGTAGGTTAAATGAATTATGCTGCCCAAGTGTAGCCATAGCTGCCATATTTCCTGGTTTTTCATCAGGCCTCTCAATTTTAATTTTTAGCTTTTACTAAGGAAAATGTTTCTCGGCAATAATAATGAACTTTGTTGAATTAGTGAAACTTAAATTTTGTAAATTCAACTACTGTATTCCTAGTACTTTTCAGAGTAATTATTCTTATAAAATTTTATATGCTCTGCATTTGCTTGCATTTGTAGAACTTTTTTTGAGAGATTCAATTAGTGCTGAATCAATAAAAATTATACTTTAATTTAATTTTGTTTTGCATCAATATACGATGCAGTGCTAAGTTTATCCACACAATAGTATGTATATTAATTTTTATTTAATCATATTTAAAATTCTTTTGATTAAATAAAAGCTTTCCTTCACTATGCATGATTTTCTCTGTGTAAAAGTAGCAAATTTCAAGATGTTGCCAAAAAAACGTAAAATTTAGAATATCTAATTAAATATTGATATACTTCAGGATTGTGAATATTGCTGTTACTTGAGTAATGCATTATGAAGTGAAAGTAAATCAATTTGGAAATTTTTTTTAATGGTGGCATTGTGCAATATTGAAAATTCCCCGATCTCATGCGAGAATCTCTTAGAGTTTTTATCTTTCAGGGTTGGCAAATATTTATTGGGTAAATATTTGTCCAACTGCATAGCAATCATTTGTATATTCAGTTTAAATATCTAGCTTTCACTTACAACTATTTTAAGAATTATTTTATATTAAAAAAAATAATAGAGTGAAGAAAACACAAATTTAATATTACTAAATGTGTAAATAGCTGATCTTCACTGGCAGATAATTTTGTTTGTAAGCAAATATTCTTTTCAAATAAATTTCAGCCATTTGTCAGGCACATGTATGTCTTTAAAAGGATAGTGTTTTATTACTTCCAAAGGAATCCATTATCTGGGATCATGTTTTATTTATCTCCTTCCTCTCTATTGTGATGTGTTTAGTTTTGAGTTGTGTTTTCTGATGAAAAATTTTTATATTGTAGCAGATGGTCTTGAGATGATTTAAAAAATCAATCTCCTATAGATGATTTGATTATGGGTTGTATACCTATGGATAGAATGTAATAAACGTAAGCTAGCAGTGTAGTACACTGCGTAGAAAGCATGCACGTGTATAAATAGCGCAAATTCAACCCTTGTTTGAAGCCCCTCCCTCATGGTTCTAAGATATTTATTTAGAAATGTAATAAATTTTGAACTAAGATTAATTCAAACAAGTCTGTATTGGTAATAAATGCGTGTGTTGATACATGTAATAGAATAAAAGTGAAAATTTGACTGATTTTACTTACCTTGCATATAAAGGATAATTATATTATATATAAGAATGCAGGATTCAAATTAATATGCAAGAGAAATGAATTTCATATATTTCTACTTTAAGCTGAGATGTCGCAAATTAACAGTATCATCTTATTTCTGAAATGTGCATTCTTTGTGTAAGTTTTTAAAAATATTTTCCTGGTAGTATTGGAAGTCCAGATTCCAGATGTTTTGCATTATAACTGGCCAATTTGCACTTTCAGCCAGCTGATTTGATGAAAAGCCAAAATGGATATTTTAACCTATTTCATGGAAGGATTTTCAAATAATTTACTAGTATGTGTTTTAATGATTATGATCATGTAGGGCTTTGTCTAACTAGCAAATCAGAGCATGTCTTATTTCTTACTGTAGGATTTGAGAATACTAACTGAAATTATTTCAAGATTTGTTATGTGGAATAACTGTATTTTGCTTTGAGACCAGAAGTAAACATACTAGTCTAAAAAAAGAAAAGCGTTTTTGTGTACTTAAAAGTTTTTTTTTACCTTAGTGAATAAACAAGTATTAGAAAAGTTCTAAACAATGAGAATTCTGAATACAAACAACCAGTGATATTCTATTATGAAGCGGTATATTTGAAATTTCTCTTTGAATTACAAAACATTTTATTGCTTTGTAAAACAAAATGCACACTATCTGTCATCAATAAAAGTCTTCATAAATTTCATAAAATATTCTTGTTTTGCTAAGTATGGTATTTCATATGTTCAAAAAAATATTCATATATATTCTTGATCAAATTTGTGAAATACCAACAAATTATTCTGTACTGTGAACTTTGTTTGATCAAAGCACTACTTGAACAAGATATTGTGAACTGACTAGACTTTGGGTTTTGAGCATAATGTATCTAAAAACCTAAACTGCTTGTTTTTATGTGATAGTAAAAAGTCAGTAAAGTACAAATGCATAATTATTTTCTACTACGAGTCCTAATACTGTAAATGTTTTACTTACTCTATACTTTGAACAAAAATTTATACCCAAAGTGGAAGGTGTCATTCTGCATAAACTAACTTAACTTTCTGGTAATTTAAATTGTAAATTAAATATTAACTAAATAAGGAGTCAAAGTGCTTTCATCCCACCTTTTGCTTTTAGGAAGTAAATAGATTGTTTGTTGCAATCATAGTGTTAGAGTGTTGATGTTTGAAAATCTGATTATCAGTTTATCCCTCTCGAGGGGGGGGGGGACGAAAATTCCGCAGGAGGTATCTTGTATTTCAGTTTATTCGAATATTTTCATTCCAAAATAATTGCTTTGTAATTAATAAGTAAATTTTACTACAAAAAATCCAAAATATGCATTTAATTACAATTTGAGCAATACTATGTGTTGAAAGTTTACCTATCTTTGACTAAAAGGTAAAGAAACTTCGAATTTTGCATTTTTAATACTTGTAATATATTTTACTCTTTCATTAAATTTTTTATAAACTATTTTGTTTCTTCGTGGATAGTGGCAATTCTGAGGGGGATATAGCTAATGTCAAGAAAAATGTGTATCACGTACAGATTGCAGTAACTGCATCTAATCTCTGGATTTATTTATTTTTTAAGATTTGAAATTTTTTTCACCTAATTATTTTTTCTGTGGTGACTGTCTTTATTTATCTATACATCCAGGCTTGTTTTCAGTGTCTGATTTTGGTTACCTGTAGTTTAATCAGCAGCAGATTCAAAACCTGTAATTTTTTGTTAGTTCTAGTTTGTTTAATTCTCTGCACTAAATTGAGATTAAGTATAAAAAGAACATGGTTATCCTAAATGTGATTTTTTAACTTTAATTACTGAAAATGCTACTGTGTTGTCTTATCTGATGTGAAGAAGAAGAAGAAGAAAAAAACTTTTCATGCAGAATAAAACATCTATTAAATTTTCTAACAAATAACAGTTTCTTGAAATATAGTTTTTGCTAAGTTTATTAATGTGTCGTATAAATCTTAACTATCTTAAAAATATTTCACTTGTGTAGATCATGCATGTGGCATTTAATTATTGAATTAAATTTTTTAATTTTTTATCATGGAAGTCATTGAAAACCATTTTAAAATGTAGAAATTCATCCTGCTTTTATTTGTTTGAAATGGATGTTCCTTTCAAATTTCTTGTTTTAAGATATTTATTTTTTCAATGCCATAATTGTACATAACTGTTACTATTACCTATATCTTAATAGAATCGAGTTAATGCTTCAGCACATAATCAAAGGCAGTCATACAGTGGATCTCAACAATCTGTGTGCACAGGGCAGGGATCTCAAAACCAAGTTGTGCAGGTACGGCAAAGTAGTTTTCGGAAAGTTTTTCATACTACTTTGTTCATTGATTTTTTTTAATGGTTCTTCAGGTGTTTTATTTATTCATCCATATTTTGTTTCCTGTTGTTTTGCTTATTTTGCACATGCTATGTAAGTTTGAATACTTGAGTCGGTATTAATGAAGAGCAGCTTTTTCTTTTTAATTGTGAGGTAAATGCTTCCTCTGTTTGAATGCAGAATTTGAGCCATCTTAAATTATGAACCTATTCTTAGTTATTTTTGTAATATGGCTGCATTAATATTAGCTTTTTTAGATGGGGTCTGTGAACTAGCATTTCAGGTCTGTTTCTGTGATCTGTAAATATAAATTCTGCAAATTTTAAATATAGGTGTGCTGATTTCTCTGTAACAAATGTTTTATTTGATCCCCCTTTTTTTTATTTTTGTAAAATTGTTTGTGTGGTTCTTTTTCTTTCTTTCCCCCCCTTTTTTTTAATTTTTGCCTGTATTTTTAAAAACTGGGAATTATGAAGTACCTATGATTTCACATAGTTTTATGTATAGAGGAATTCATTTCTCATTTCCTTTTGTCATTTTCTTTGTTTAACTATTCTGTGCTTTTGATTATATGCAAGTTATGCAAATCATTTCTGTTATGCATCGGGTTTTCTTATTACGATTTGATTCTCTGTATTCAAATTTAGATTTAAATATTTAACTTAATAATTCTTCTGAATGTTATGCAAGTGAAGGCTTTCCAGTCATTTTTTAACTAATCTCAGCCTGTTATCATAGCTCAAAGTTGTAAAATTTAGGTATCTGTATGTTAAGTTTCTGACTGTAATTAGGCTTTAAAATGAATTAGGAAGTGAGTGACTGGAAACAAATGTTGAACAAATACATTTTGAATCACAGTTTATAAGTTTATACTGCTTATATTTTTTTTCATTGTATTAATTAATGAAAACAGTTGCTAACCACCAATTTAATTGCATTTTAATTAGTGCCAGCAAGGGCAAATAAGGCCAACTGTATTGAATACTTCAAGTCAGGAGCCTGCAAATAAGCGACTAAAACTATCACATGGTGTGCCTCAGACAAACGTAAGGAAACTATGCTGTTCATTGTATTTGTGTTTCTTTCACATGTACCTTTATTTTTATTATTAAAAGACCCCTTTTATTCCATAAAATTTTATATAAATATTTTTTCTGGTTCTTAATAATTTTCCATTTTTATCTGTCATTATTATAGCAAGTAGCAAATCCAGATAGTAATGCACGACCTTCATATTATTTAACTCAACAGCAGTTGCAGCTTCTTAGTTACCTTCAACAAAATCAGGTAATTATTGTTAATACTAATATAATCTTCCTGTAATTTAATTTTAATGAGTTTTTTGAAATAAGGACGTCTCAAAAAATAAGTATTGTGCTTAGTAAATATAGGTTTCACATGTGTTATTCTATGATGTAGGAAAAGCTCAGACATTTTATAAAGCAAGCATGCTGACCTGAGATAACTCATAGGGCAGTCTTTTGCCGTAGTTTCTGTCTTAAATGTAAAAGAAAATATAATTTTTTCATTTTCCATCATGCAGTTTGTACTGATTGTAATCTGAATTTTGTTTAACTGCCAATTTTGAATAAAGTTTTATGATTTGAAAGAAATATATAATTGATGTGGTAGAATAGTTTGCAAAATGTTCTGAAAGATAATATTTAAGCTTTGATTGAGAGTAATGCTGTAATTAGTGGAAATGAAGCTGAGGTCATATTACAAAAGGTCTACTGTGGCACTTGTTAGATAAGCATGTGAAATACAGGGTTGCCATGCTACCTGGAAAACCGGGAAAACTGGAAAAAGTCAGGGAATTCGTAAATTGACCAAAAAATTCAGGGAAAAGTCGGGGAATTTAAATGTTTTAGTCAAAATCCGGAAAAGTCGGGGAATTTCATACAACAATCCCGCCAAAAAAGGCGAGTTTTGCGCCGACGTCGGAAGAGATAATTTTTTTGGCGAATTGTGTATCACGTGAGTGTCATTCGGGCAGCTGGCATAGAGCCAATTTTTGCAGCTCCTATTTGATTGTCTTTTAGAACGGGAAAGCAAGATTCCCGCAACTTTTGGTTTCCAGTAACCTCGAGAATCGCATTTGCAATGCATGAACTAAAGTACCTGTTCTCATATAAAGTAAAATGGGTTTAATCCTAGTATACGGTACTATGAAGGTTAGAATAAAAAAAAAAAATGTATTGTAGAGAAGAAAAACCTCTCTGCAACATACAGGGCTCCGTTCCATTATAGAGGGAAACAGCTGTGCATGTGCGATATATCTGTCGCCAAAGCTTGAAACCGGTGTCGAAGGTCACGTTATCAAGAGTTCATAAAATGAATATCGTTTAAAATTTCTTTAAACTCTAAAGGAAAAAAAAATATTTTTTGGCGCAAGTAAATTAATTCATGGATTAGTTATTTTGAGGAGGGGAAACTACGAAAATCTGTCTTTAAAATTATTGCACTTGGATTTTTCGCAGTAATTTAAAAACGGATTTTCGTAGTTTTCTTTTTTGTCAAAGAACCAGAGTCATAGCTAGGGTTTTCAGCGCCCAGGGACAACTGAAGATTTCACGCCCCCTACTGCTTGCCAAGGATGGAAAAGATTTAATTCTAAAATATCGTAACATCAGTTTGGTGCCCCTCGGATTCTGCACCCGGGGACAGATGCCTCCCTCTAGCTACGCCCCTGCAAAGAATGTTTCTTAACACGTGTTTCTCAATTTCCTGTGCACATGGCGGAGAGGGAAATTCTGGCCGCCAGGCTCCGTTGCCATATCCCTTGGCAAATTTTCCCTCCGCTTTCTAGCCGCGTAATAGCATTTACGTGTATGGAACCTTTTCTTCTTTACATAGACGTTCTTTGGTTAGAATAATCTCCATGTATGGTACAGCGGGATTTGGCGACATGATGATGAGCAGTAAACAGGTCATTTTGTTCTTGGCGACAATTTTCAAAATCGTGCGAAGGCTGTACCGTATACTAGGATTTTACCACAAATTTTTCTTTTCTTTTCTTTTCTTTTTAATAAATACCTTGTCATTTTGCAGTAAAATAAAAAAATAGTAATCAGTCGTCTAGGCTAACCATGTAATATAACTATATTCGCTAAAATATCGTTGATTATTCTAACTCAATTTTTAAGTAATTATCTTTGTTATTCATATCATTTAACGTTGCTTCTTCCCTCTAAATTTATTTATCATTAGTAAATAATATTTCCAAATTTCAGGAAATTTTCTCTGGCACAATCCTGAAATTGATTCTAGCAGTATGATGACATCACGAAATTTAATGCACATATTTTTTCCTTATGTATGCTGCGAAATAAATATAAAATACCTCAATGTATTAAAAAAATATCATTAAATAGATTTCTTTCTTTCATTTAGCTGCAGAATGTCTGCAAAAAAAACTTTATTTTATTCCAGATTGGGCAGATTCTAATCTCAATCTTCAGTGGTGAAAAAATTCCATTATAGTTAAAATAGTAATGCTTTGGGAATTATATATATATATTATAATGTATTGACAAATTTTTGTGTTTTCAAGTGTTAAGGTGCCTTTTTAGAAGACAACTCACACAAATTAAATTTACCTAAAATCTAACCTAACTTTTAGCATTGCGTTGTGATTTATGAGAACCGGATTAGCCTCATGTTGAACTGGTGATGATCATGAGTAATAATTAAATAAAATGTACAATTGTTATCCAATGTATATATCTTAAATTTTATTAAGTTTCTTAAGTGGAAAAGTAAACAAAGTTATCAAACAAAGTGTGCCAAGAATAATTAAGAATAAATGTCCTCTGGGATTTATTGAATAATTAAGTGAATTTGCTACACAGTAGAAGTAATACCATAATTAATTTACCTCTTAGCACAGCCAACGTACATTACGCGGATAGACTGGAATTTTCTCGAAACATACCTGGAAAAGTCAGGGAATTTCATTCTCCTGTTTGAGTGGCAACCCTGGAAATATTATTAAAATGTCCTAACAGGTATGAGAGACTTTATGTGTGCTCCCTTGAAGAAGAAAATTACACTATTATCAAGTCTGATGAAATTTTTTTACCAAGAAATGTGGTATCGTAAACAGGGTTCGTAGCGGTCCTTACAAGTGCTTATAAGTCCTTATATTTGAAAATAAAATATAAAGGCCCTTATAGGTGCTTACTTTTTCTTTAAAGCCCTTATTTTTTGTTTTTAGTGCTTATTTTTTGCTTTTAGTGCTTTTTTAATGAACACGCATTTTTCCCCCGTATCAAAACCGAAACTAAATAAACAACTTTTCTTCCTTATATGGAACGTCAGATGGTGAATCATGCTCCCGGAAATAGCTTTTCGCCCTTTCTCTGCATTAACGTAACCTGTGGTGCGTGCGAGAGTACAGACAGGTGCACGTCGTTCTATTGGTCAAAGAATTGCGAAAACCGTAGAAAATTCCGGTACATTCGGTATTCTTTTCCTCCCACCCAAATACTACACACGTTTGAATTTCTATAAATAATTATAATAATTTGCATTCTCGTTTCGCGTGGTCAGTTCATATTCGTGTTTATTATGAGCATATGTATGAATATTTATAATAATATAGTTGCAGTAGCTGCTGAAGTGTAGATAAACTTCCAAAAATGGGTGTATTTTTACACAGATTAGCTTTCTAAGGAATAATATTCGGAATGGCTTAAATAAAAGGAAAGTAATTGAATAGTCAATAATATATATATATATATTTTTCCAAATACATTATACAGTACGGAGGTTGGAAGTTTCTCCCCTTTCTCCACAAAATCTCTTTTTTTTTTTTTTTTTTTTTCCCACTGCCCAATCTGGATTCAATAGGACTAAAAGTTTGACGGTCTACCCAACCCAAGCGAAGAATGATTCTATTCCAGAAATTTAACGCAGTCAGTTCAAAAGTAGAATCAAAAACACCCCAGATTAGTAAGTCACTTTCTTTTCCTTTATTTAGTTCTTTATTCTTCGAATACCGGGGCCGAGCGTAAAGTCGCTGAACACTGGTATTTCGGTCCGAGGTTCGAATCCCGCGAACGGGCTGGCTGCATGGGTGTTTTCGGGGTTTTCCCCATGTGTAAAGTGTATACGAGCCAGTTTCCCTTAGAAAGTCCTCCACGAAGGCATCCCTTCCCTTAGGCAGATAGCCCTAGTGTGCTTTGCCATAATTAAATACACCACACCACCACCGAATACCGGCAGCTGTTGATTCCGATTACGTAATATGACGTATGGAAGAATTACGCCGCACGCATTGCGCAATAGCGTTTGCTGTATTTTGCAGAGATAATTAATTTTGATGTTCAGTCTGAGATTTATTTATGAACACTTAAAAGAGTTTTACTGTGCTTTCTAAGCAGAATATTTCTCAGTTCTGTTGGTCTATTTTTATATGATGCACATATCGAAATGTCAAAATCATTTATTTAGCCGAGAAATCTACAGAACGGCTACAATCTCCCCCCTCCTCTTTTTCCAGTTACACTCGACTATACAGAATATTCGGCAATTTCCGAGTATGCGGGTCTCCTGATTTCAGAAATGTTCCTCTTTTTTACTTAAATTACTTTGCTTGGAATATATGTTAAGGGAAAACTGCTATGCAATGAAAATTTAGAAAATGTTCAGAACTTTGATTTAAGTTAAATTATTTAAATATTAATATGAGTGGGAAAATAAATTGAATTTATTATTAGGTGCCAAGCGAATACAGTTAATATGGCTTATTATTATTTATTTTCTATATTTTGAACTGAAATTTCATCATTAAATCTTGTAATGTAGTTTAGTTCTGCATAGTTTTTTTTCTCTCGTAAACTAATTCTGTAAATTGAACTGTCATTTAAATTTTTTTTTAAAAAAGTTACTTGTTTTCCATTTTTGAGGTAATGCTCATTCTATTAATAAATATTGCATTGCTCATATTTTAAATTGCAAGTCTAATTTTTAAGGTTATGCAGTTGTGTATAATGTAATTAGACAGGTGCTTATTTTTTTCCTTAAAATGTGCTTGAAAAGTGCTTATAGGTGCTTATTTTTTTAACTAAAATGTGGCTATGAACCCTGGTAAAGTCTACAAAATTCCCAGCAGCTGGCTGATAAAAATCTCTTCCCCCCACTGATGGGGGGTGTCTGTGTGCTCATTTGTAGGATTAAAAGGTCTGAATCTAGTAAGAATGTACAATTTTAGATTTTTTTAGTTTGAAGATTTGGTTTATGATCCAAAGTAGCTTCAAAATATTTTATCTCTGAAATCTGTATATCTTACATATATGGAGAATAGGTAGAAGGATTATAGAAATATAATTCAAATCAGAGGCAAACCCAAAAGAATTTGAGAAACCTTTGTCTTGCATTTACTGAAATCTGCCTCTAACTGGACAACTAAAGTGCTGCAATACTTTCAGCTCAGCATCTGTTCATGGGCAGCATATGCCAGTGTTTCTTAGTCATGTGCAATTTTAAACTAATTTCTCTAATAAAGTCCTTTTTGAGGACATTATCCCTTTAAGTAGATTGCCCATGATTGTTCTACCATCATTAAGCAATCCATTCCAATTTGACGCTTATAGCATTCAGGAATTTTTCTACTATTTAAATGAATGGCTTCATGGTTATCATTTTGAGAGGTATGTTGAGAGCTGCTGATAATTTTCCCAAACCAGTTATAACAACTCTATTGTCTGGCTTGTTTCACTTGATATCAAAAGATTTTGCTATTGTGGTCAAAAAATATTATTTGTTACTGAATCATTTTAATTGAAAAAATATTTTAAACTCTAAATATAGGATGACAATGCGAGTAATTAAGCAAGATGCATCTCCTAAATACATGCAGTACTTTTGCATTTGTACATGGAAGTGTCTGATTTGGCAGAGGAGGAGTGATGGTCTGGACCAGTAATTCTAACGTTGGCTGCACCTACCTGCACATTATCAGTAATGGAGCACAGCTCCGTGATATAGGTATGAGATCATCAAACATATTGTCCTTTATGCTGCAGTTGGGGATGAATTCATTCTCATGGATAATAACACCAGGCCACATCGTGCTCAGCTAGTAAGGCCTTTGAATGGATTGGCCAGCATGTTCCCCCATATATGAATCCAATGGAACATGTTTGGGATATTCTAGGCAGAAATTTTACTAGTTCCTTATCACCCCCAGAAATATTTCAGCAGTTTGAAAGCTCTCTTCAACAGGAGTGGGAGAAAATATCCCAGTCCCTCATCGATTTCATACCTTGTGTGTAACATTGCTTCAGTCAGGGAAAACCACACCCCTTATTGAAACTCATTTGTATCTGAGAATTCAGATTTTGTGTATATTTGTATCATTTTTTGTTTACCAAAAAATATCATCAATAAAGTTTTAATTATTCCTTATTTGCTGCTACTTTTTCTTTTCTTGTACCTTACAACACTTATACATTGTATATCAACCACCATAACATTTCCTTATCTGCAGAAAGTCGCCTAATTGTTTTGAGGAGTGTATTTATCCTAATTTTAACAGAATGTTCTTATAGGCTCAGAAAAAGTTAATTTTTTTATATCTCTGTTATGGGATATTGATAGTTTATAAACCCGAAATTTTTATGCTTGTTCTGTTTTTTATGCCTATTAAAATTTTTATTTTTATTTTTCAGAACAATTTATCACCACAACAGAGAATTCTTTTTCAGCAGTTGCAACAGCAATATCAACATATGCAACAACATCAACAGCAACAGAAGCTTTTAATGCAAAGTCAAGTAATAATCTTTATTAGTTGTGTGTTCTTTATAAGTTGTGTATGGTTAAAATTGCTTTATTTATGTATGGCAATAAAAGTTACTTTGTTTCAGGCTATGTAAAGTTTTGTGCTAAATTAGTTTACATTAGCTAACAACAATCCAATGTTTTCATTGTTTCCTGGCATCTTTTCTAAGAAAAGGAAGATGTTTACATCAAATTTATGCATTTTGTTGAGAATGTGCACTGAATTTATACTTAATTTCAGATTTTATGATTATTCTGTATCTGGGAAAATTATTTTTTCTTTGTGTGTGTGATATTTAAATAATGACAGGTAGAGTGAAATTTCAATACTTTTTTGGTGTGGTAATTTTATAAGACATGCATTTTATTTTAATGAAAAGTTGCTAAGAAAATAAAATTATTTCCAGGTTTTGAGTATGTAATATTAAACCTTATCTTTCTTGAATTCTATGGAAAAAATTACAATAGAATATCTCTTATCCAACTTCAGGAATCCAGAATATTTGTTTATTGAAAAGCTGCAGTTTCAAAGTCATCATTACTGCTAATTCATAAAATCTAGTAGGAAATTCTTCAAGTTCTGCAATCAAATTTTAAGCTGAAACAATGAAGTGGTGATGAAATTGATGATGTATTATTCAAATTCATTATAAGTTGATAAGGCATAAGATTGTAGAAATGTTATGAGGAAAATGAAGTAAATGAATTGTTAAATTGTAGATGCAAATAATTTTGTATGTCAAATTTTAATTTCTTGTTAATGATGGGTTTCTCATCGAGATAAATTGAGGAGGATGTGAGCAGATTTTAACCAAGTACTATTAATATTAGAAGCACTTAAAAGCAGTTAAACAAATGGCTGCTTGTAAAAGAATATCTTCTTCAAAAGTGAAAAGAATTTTCCATTTTTGAATGACTAATTAAAAAGTGTGATTTGATTAAGACTTCCAAACTTTTGTAAAAAATTATATTTTGAGGAGAGAAGAAGAAATGCTATTATTGTTGTGAATGGCCTTGAGATTATATGGTATCAGTGTAAGGAGTAAATTTTACATTATTTTGCAATTATCTGAACTTAATCCTATTTCAAGGTCTACTTGATTCAGATAATCAGTATGTTTGCTGGTCATGAAGTATTAAGACATATTTAATGAGTAGCATTTGTTCTGTAAAATCAATTATCTGATTTTTTTAATTCAAGATTATTTTCATTGATTTTAATATTGGTAAATATTTTTTCATCAAAAATCTTAATATTTGAATTTTGGGTTTGAAACTGGCATATAAAAAGTAAACTGCCTCTTTCTCTCTACATCAACTCTGAGATATATATTAAGAGGAAATACTTTTGGAGTAAATTTTTTATGTGTTCAACATTTATATGCTTCTTGCAATGTTGTATATATAAACTGTCTAAAATAATTTTTACATAATCATGTTTCATAACAATTTCACATAATAATTTTGCTGTAGTTAGTTGAAACTTTATGATAGCAAATTTTGTTACACTTTGAGTCCAAATTTTTATTGTCAATTGCTTCCTCAATGTCTTATTGATAAATTCTCTTTGAACTTCATTTATAATGCTGTGCTGTGCTGTTTCTCATTTTCCTTTGACTGTAAGGTAGATGAGGCAGAATGTTATGCCAATAGCCAAAGCTTAGTCAGTTCTTATATGAATGGTTATTTGTTTTGTCTTGCTTCTCCTTTGCGGGTGTAATATGAATGGACTGCTTGTATTGGATATTGGGAAGTGTTTTCAGAGATGCTGAAATGACTGAATTTTGGATGTCTTACAGTACATGCTAAATTCAAAAGTACCAACAATTAATTAAAAATAGTTCTTCATCACTATTGCTTTAAAACAGGTGTGCTTTTAAACAAGATGTTTCTCAGTTTGTTATGTATCCAGTGAGTTGAGTTTTCTGACACATATGATTCTATTTTTTTAAATAAAAATTAAACAATTTTTCCTAGAACAAAATCATAGCAAGCATCTCAACATAAGATCAAGCTGCTGAGAAGTAGATCTTCATGTATATTGATCTGATGAAAAACCGTGTATATTGATAGGATGGTGAGAAATGCTTTAATTCGGAGATTATATCTAATCAGCTTAAGAAATGTTAGATTAAAAAAAATGTTCCACAACTTCAAGCTATGAAGAGTATTTGTCATTTATGGTAATATAGAAATTAGTAGTCCAGTTAACTGAATGGGACTTGTATCTAGTATCTTTAAGAAAGGTTGTAAGTATTTAAAAAATTCTAATGTTTCCATAAGGTGTAAGCATGCAGTGCTGTCTTATCTTTTTGAATTGTTTAATCTGTTTTGTTATAAATTCAAAAAAGTTCCTTCCTAAAAATATCATGATCTAGAAGAAGTCTTGAAAAATATGTTGTTATTGAACATACATAATATCTGTATCACCTTCGTATAAATTAAGCATTCTTGGTAGAAGAACCTTAACTGTTATTGAGTAATGATATTCAGAAGAGAGAAAATTGTGCCATTTGGGTATCTTCAGAGATGGATTGCTTCCAGTGAGATGTAAATTTTATAAAGGTTTAATGATCTATTGTTATATATAGTGGTCATATATTTAGATAAATTATTATGATCAAGTTGATATAAAACTTTCTGAACATTTAGTGGCTTGGCTATCACACTTGCTATCCCCGTCATTGTCAAAAAATAGGTAAATTATTAGCAAACATTTCATTATTATTTTCTTTTAGTCAAAAAGTGTTAAAAATATTAGAATAATTAGTTGGACAAATAACAATATGATTTGAAATTTAAAGTGTTTTAAGTGTGTAATACAGATTATGTAAACATCTATTTAATATATGATGTTTGTATTATAATAGATGCCATAGAAACTTAGAATAACAGGGTGACTAGCTGAGTGTGGTAGTTTCCAAATTTAGAAAATGAGTTCTTTTAAATCTAAGATATTGTTAACATGCAAATTTTTCTAGCATGTTCATCCTCAAAACGCCCGTGCTGACTAGAACATATGAGGATTAAATCGAAACACGCTTGGGCTTTTGCCTAGGCTGTGTATTCATCTTGTATTATTAACTCATTCATTCAGTCCCCATGTGTAAAACAAAAAAAAAAAAAAAAAAAAAAAAAAAAAAACCCTGTCAAATTACCAATGTTTTCTGGTTTTATTCACTCTTTTCTTACTGGGCAGAGGATCTTAGAGAATTAAATTATGTTATAAACAACACATTTTCTGCCCTTTAAAATGATGCTTTATGGATGATGCTACAATTGCTTGTCCTGTCAATGGTAACCGATTATATTATCAAGTACTAGCAGATTTCCTCTCAGTGTGTGCTACAATTCATTTTAAGTCTGTAATCTGGTGTATGGATATCTATTTGTGATAATTCATTTTATTTAGATTAATAGATTTATTTAGATTTTATAGAATTAAATTAAATATAGAATATATTTTCTGTGAAAGAAAACGGTTAATATATTTTCTGTGAAAGTAAAGAGAAAACTTCCACAAATGCAAGAGAGAGTTTTTAGCAATACTTAGGCTTCACGATGTTATTAAAAAAAAAATTGCAAGTTATCTTTCAAAATTTAGATGCATTTTTTTGTTTTCAGGTGCAGAGTTACAATAAAGCACATTTAAACGTAAAAATAGATAAAATTAGCTTTTGCATTTTTTAATGTTGAGATACTTTAAGTTATATATATAATATGTAAAAATAAAGTACCATCAGCTTTTCAATACACTCTATATTGTGCAGTTTATAATTTCAGTTTTATGTGATTTATCATAATTTAAAATTTTTAGTTACCTGCTGGTCAGACATCTGTTCCATTATCTACTACTAGTGCTCAGGTTTTAAGTACAACCACCATCACAACATCTGTTACTCGTAGTGGTCCAACTATTAGTGGTTATATGTCTCCTGATTCTACTGCAACGCATGTTCGCCCCTCTCAGTCTCCTGTGTCAGAAGGAATGGTATTAAGTAGCTGTAGCACTCCAGTTAGTCAATCAAATCCGGCCAATCTTCAAGTACGAACTGCAAGTAATATGCCAGCTTCTCAATCCTGCCAGGTTACCACTACAACAGGTAGCCCAATCCTGTCAAAGCCTTCACAATGCTCCAGTGCTCAGATGCGTCATCCTACTGCATCAAGATCTGTAGGAGCATCTCAGGTTTGTTTCTAGCTTTGAAATTTGTTATGAGAGCTCTTTTAAAATTGAAGTAGAGGCCTTTAGATTTTCATAAGAAATTATGAAGAGCATTGCAAATAAATATATAAGTATGATGGAGTACATATTAAAAGTAATCTCTCTTGACTTAAAAGGAAGAGAGTCAAGAAGCATGATGTCAAAAGTCAAGATCTTAACTTAGATATGAATTTCTGCTACCTCCAAGTGCTGTTTTTACAGTTTTATAGTTGATGACCTGCATGTTTGTTTGATCTATGCTAGAAAAGCACTCTAAACCCTGTATTTTGCACATGTAAATTATCAGCATTAGTTGCATGATTTAAAAATAAAGTTGTTGAATTTTCATTTTTTCAAAAAATGTTTACTGCATGAGCTGGCTTTCATGTGATTTTCTTTATGTATGTTAGCTTATATTTCATGAGGTAATTAAAGGAAAACACGAGCATGAGAAAGCTTCAAGAAAGCATGGGCTTGAGCTTTTAGAAACTGTAATACATTCCTGAATTGATTTTATTGTTCTTTCTGTGATAGCCATGGATCATTTTTGATTTGCCAAAAGTTTCAGGATAGTAAGATTAATTAAGGCTTAAAATTATTCAACAAAAAGGTCTATGCATCATTTCCATGAGTTTCCGTAACAACCATCTGATACCAAGTAGTAGTACAAGGATTATTTCACTGCCTGCATGTATGCCAGATTTCAGAAATTAATACTAAATGTTTTTGGTCCATTATCTATGCTAGCTTGCTTAAAAAGCAAAATCAGACATTGCACTTTTGATGTATGTGTGTGTGTGTATGTTATTTGCATGCATTTTTGGGCATATAATTATGCAGCATTGTATTTGCAGAAGAAAATTACTTCTCTTGTCAGTTAATTTAATTGAGTAGTGGAAGTGTATACTGATAGAGTATAATATAGTGTATAATTTAATATAGTGCCTTATATACTTCCCTTGTCCTTGCTAATTTAATTGAGTAATGGAAGTGTTAAGGAAGAAAAACAAAGTAATCTCAATTAGTAATAAAAGTAATTTGTAGAATGTTGAAAATACTAGTTTGAAACATGCATATTTTTAAGTTTTGAGAAATTGCTTCAGATAATGGGAAAAGATACTTTTTTGGGCCAAAATATTGCAAGCCTGATGTATCTTAGAACCAGGAAACCAGGAGTTAACTGATTATATATCGTTATATACGTGTATTGTTGCTTGCTAGTAGTTCATACTTAAACTGTTTCTTCTGAATAAATAGTATGATGGCAGAAAAAGCTTGGCCTTTTGCTGAAGCTTTAGAATGAATAGTGTCAGTACAATCAAATGGAGACCATAAGAGAGATTTCTGAAATTGTGGCCAAAGGTACTCTGTTGACAGGAACAAATTTTGTAAATTCAGTTCTTAAAAAAAGGAAACATCAAAAGTAAGAGCATTTTAAATTAAATGGGGAGAATAGCAATGTTTGGAATATCAAATTCAAACTAGCATTGCAAACTTTTTGACTTGAGCTGTGAACCAAAAACTTCTGCTTTGTTGGGCCACTTGCTTGGTAGCTAGTGTCATAAAGTTTGAAATTAAAAGCTCAGAATGGAAATTTTTCAATATGTTGCAATGCAAAGCTGAAAAATTTTTAAATATGATGTCTCTAATTTTGAACATCTTTGCCAGCTCTGAGTGTTTAAATACATGAAATGTCATGCAGTAAAAGATAAAAGTATAAACTTGACAAATATACAGATAATAAACCAATAAATAAATGTGTACTGAATGTGAAACCTCAGTAATACAAAACAAGTGAAAGAAAATATTTCCATTGATTTGCAACAATCTTATAGAAATCTGGCATAGTTCTAGATGCATAAGAACTGTCTGTTAAGGTATAAATGAAAGCATACAGATCTTCAGAAGAGAAATGATTAACTAAAATTATATTTATGTCAATGTAGCCTACAGTAAAGGCTGAATATTATTGTGATTTGAATTAGCTGATGAATTTTTAATTCATGGAAACAACATCCAAATGTTCAATCCTTCAGAGGATTACCGTCTTGGTGATCGGGTATCACTATCCTTGAGCCCCAGTATCTCTCCTCCTTTCTGCCTCCTCTCCTCTTAACCACAACTTTTCTCGTTTTGCTTCTCCCTTGTGGTTTCCTCTTATGAGGTTCAGGCTCGTCATAAGAAACTGGAACAGCCTTGTCCCTAGCTTTTTGAGTGGCGAGAGAACTCCCCACGTGTTTGCTGTGCGTGGAGACCTGTGTCACTGAAAAGGAGGGTCCTGGTAGTTGAGGGGCGAGGTACTGTGCTCGACATACTGCTTTGGTCTCTGCTTCAGTTAAATGGGGGGCACCTTGTCATCCTCTCAGGTGTCAACCGGCTGGTCACTAGTCCTTGTATTGGTGGCTTATAGTTCCGGCTAGCCCTGGCATAGGAATTTGCATCCCCCTTGTTGAGCTCCATGGTGGGTGAGGTGGTCGGACCCGTATCTTTTTCCATTTAAATATGAATGCTGCGATACCTTCCTGCTCCAACGATGTACCCGATACTCCGATTGTGACCAAAAGACTAAGAAGCGACATCGAAAGCACGGTTTTGGATGTTTTTTGTCCACATTTCTTAATTATAACCAGCTGTGAAGATTTGAAAAAAATGTCACCCTTTCTAATAAACAAACATCTTTTGTCTTCTGTAGAACTGAAAAATCTTAAGAGACTTTGGTCTGGAGACCTTTAACTAAATTAACACAAGCAAACGTTGAAGTTAAGCTACATAACACTCTGAACTCATCCCGACGAGTAATCTCTGAAATAGACTTACTTACTATCAGTAACTGAAGAGGAATTTGTTAAAGAGTTGGCAGATCAAAATATGTGTGGTGCTTGTAGGATCAGAATACGGAAAGACGGTGAATGCCAGTGAAGACAGTGTTCATGCCAGTGAAGGCTACTCTGCTGCTCCTTTATGTATAAATTGTAAAGACGAGCACCCAGCTTTTTCAAGATCATATCTGAAATGGCAGACAGAAAAACAAATTGAAAACATTAAAGTTACACAAAAAATATCATTTTCAGAGGCCAAAAGACCTATTTTCTGTAATCAGCCAAGACCTAATAAATCTTATGCATCTGCAACAAAATCATTCAGCTTGAATATCCATTTAAATATGAATCAATATCAACGCAAACCGCAATAACCACACAGAAAAACGAACTAGCAATGATAGAAGATCCTAGAAACCAAAAATCGGGGGAAAAAACCTGATGTTGAAAGAAATGCGCCGGTGACTGCGACCAAAGGAAAACAGGATGTCCAACAGAACGAACATAGAGATGTTATCAAGGAGAAAAATAAGCAAAAACCCAGGACTCCCAAATCAAAGTTCTGTTGCAAGCAAATGAGTTCAGGACACCTAGACAACTGGGACGAAATGGACGTTGAACAAGGGTTATCCCTTCCGAAACACCTTTTGCTTCGAAAGTAAAAAAAAAAAAAAAAACTGCCAAAACAAGCATCCATAATGGCTACATTTATTTCGGAATTGCCGGGGTTTTCGTCAAAACCTGGATAACGTCAAGGATTTAATAAACAGGCATCAACCTGCCTGTCTTGCGCTTCAAGAGACCTTGTTAAAACCAAGCATACATGCTAAGATACGGAGATATACCACAGTAAGAAAGGACTACTTATCTGGGGATCATGCCTATGGTGGTGTGGGCCTTATCACCTCCCACAATCACCATACACTGCTCTCCCTTTCACGGCCTCCCTTCAAGCTGTTGTGGTTCAGATTAATTTACGCTTTTCAATCTCAGTATGCACTATTTATTTACTCCCACATGAGCATGTTGATCAGAACAATAGAGCAACTCCCAGAACCTGTTTTGCTAATAGGTGACTTCAATACACATAGTATGTTATGGGGAAGTAGTGACACTAATTCAAGGGGCCGGCAGATCGAACAAGTAATGGAAGGTCATTTCCATTTGTCTCCTTAATAATGGAGAATACACCTACTTTCATCAGGAGACTAGAACATTTCATGCAATTGATCTGGTTTTTTTGTTCTCCATCTCTACTACCTTTTCCCTCTTTCAGTGTAGGGGAGAATATCTACGATAGTGACCATTTCACAGTGATTGTAAATATTACAAGAAAGTAGTGATCTCAAGATAACCACACTTACTTTGTGATAAAGCTGATTGGGATCTTTTTGCATCTTGTGCTGTGCTGACTGAAGAAATGGTTAACAATGAGGACATAAATACAGCATTAAAAATGATCTCTGACACTATTGTACAAGCAGCTGAACTCTGTATTCCGAAGTCCTTGACAAAGTTCCCTAAACAATGGTGGAACAGTGAGTGTCATTAAACTTCGAGAGAGCAAAAGAAAGCTTGGCTTATCTTTCGCCAATATCCAACATTGGCAAATCTTCTGCCCTTTAAGAAAAGCTAAGGCGAATGCAAGAAAAGCGAGGCGGCAAAGTCAGAGAAAATCATGGGCAGCCTACATGTCCATTATTATCTCCTCAATGTCTAGCAAACAGGTTTGGGAAAGAGTCCGCAAAGTCTCTGGACTATATAATAATTATTCCTTTTTTTGTTCTAGAGAAAGATGGTCACTTGATAAGCACTAGAGAAGAAATAGCCAATGCTTTAGGTGATACATTTGCTGCTGTATCTGACAGTAGCAATTACTCAGAAGAGTTTATGTCCACAAAGATGCGCTTGGAAAGGATTTAGATTGACTTTTCCCATCCTAATGCAGAATCTTATAATAAAGATCTCGCCACGTTTGAATTAAGAAGTGTAATATCTCGCACTGATAAGACCTGGCCTGGTCCTGATGGCATAAGTTATTTGATGATAAAGCATCTGCCTTGTGAATATCTAGTGGTCCTTCTCGCTCTTTATAATAAGATATGGGAGGAACAAATTTTTCGAACTGCCTGGTGCAGGGTCTTTGTAATCGCTATAGCAAAACCT